CTCCCCGGTCTCCTGGCTCCAGGGCAGGGTCTTGGCAGGCACCTTCTCCTCTCCCAGGGGAGGGGAAAGCATGCCATCCAGGCTGATGGCCCACCCTCCCCCATCATTCTCCTTTTCCTTCTCCCTGGACAGGGTGCAAGCCCGGGGAGGGCAGGGGGAAAGTGGTAGTTGAGGGATCCAGGCTGTTTCAGCTGGATGGGATCTGCCCCCGGGGGTTGGCAGCTGTCTTCAGCACCTGTGACACTGGCCGCCTCTCTTTTCTTCACTTTGGGCCTCCAGTTCCTAGTGAGGGCAGGGGAAGAATCCCACCCACTGAGCATCCCACAAAGGCTCAGGAAGGCTCTGGGGAGGCGCCCTCTGCCAGACTTCTCCTGGGAGCGATGCTTCTCTTCCTCACACCCCCAACTTCATTAAGGATTCCAGGAACCCTTGCCCGTTGCAGCGGGAGCCAGGCCCCATCATCCCTGTGCTGGCCGGGAGCAGAGAGACGGCCCTTGACCATGACGGGGTGAAAGACACAGGCAATGTGGACAGGATTTCTTTAAGGACCAAGGACGGCTTCTTACGAGGAAACCACCCAACGACAGTGCAACCAACTTCCAATCGTAATTCTTTGAACATGTGCGTTCTCAGTATATTTTTACCATAACAATTCGTATTCACAGACGCTGGTGAAAGAGATCATTTTGTGTATTTAGAATTATTCTCCATTCACTTTTCTCCCTACTCAAATTTTTAAAAAAGCATGAGCCTGGCCATGGATTCCAATTAGTACCTGGTGATTTGTTCCAGGGTAACCTCGTGAAACACTGAGTGAAAAGGGAGGGGGCTCCTGGAAATTTTAGCCCAGCACCCCGTGAGGTGGGGCATTGCAGTGAGAGGCAGGGTGCCCTCTGCTGTTTGTCCTGGGAATTTCTGCTCAGTTGCAAGAGGTCTGGCTGATAAATATACGCTGTCACCCTGAATTGGCTAGCAAAGCCAGTTTCCAAAAATTCTGCAGAATTCTCTCATTTGTATCAAAGAAATAAATATCCCCAGGGCAGAGTGTGCAAAGCTTGTCCCAAGCAGCGATTCAAGTAAATCGCGGTGGGAAACGTTTCTGCCCAAAGGAAGCGGGGGCCATCCACAGGGAAAGGATGATAAACTACAGAACTGAGTTTCAGAAGTCACCTGCTCCGCTTAAAGCTGCAAGTCTAAAACAGGCACTTCCTGATCGTGGCCGAATGACTCAGTTTCACCATGACTCAGCCCAGCTCCCGGTTGCCCAGGGGGTGGAGAGGGAAGAGCAGATGCTGTGCAGTCGGGATGCAGAGCCCCCAGAACGGGCGCAGCTATTTCTGGAGGGTAAATGGGGACGGGGGAGCTCATGCAGGCCCTTGCTCAGGAAGTACAAGTGGGGCGTTAATGAGAGGAAACACTCCCCACTCAGAGGCTGGGGATGGTTCAGAGCCTCCATAACCAAACTCTCTAGGCACCGCCACGCGAGGGGAGAGGCGCCCTCCTGCAGGTGATGCAGGGGAGACGCACGCAGGCTGCCAGCAAACCCAGGAGAGCCCTGCGTTGGGGTGACCCGTCCCCCTGTGCACAGGAGCTGGTCCCCTGAAGGGAAGCAGGTCTCTCCAGCGTTCACCAGCTGCTAAAGCAAACTTATCTCCAGACTGGGCTAGGAAATTGTTTCCCTGTCCCAGGGCTGCATTTTCAACATGGGGAACAAACGTTAAGCTTTAAACAAATCAGTTACAAACAAATGTGAGATGCCCTGAGTACCAGGGAAACTGTGACCTTGAGATGGGTGGCCCAGAGGCTGCGGGTCAGTGTGGGGAGCTCGGGTGGCTGCCGCTTTCCATCCCACCTCGCCAGGGCCGGCGTAGAGGCGTAAAGGCAGCCCAGCGGAAAAGGTCCTGGAGTCAGCATCACTCCACGACCTGGTCTGGGAAGGGCTGGCTGGGAGGAGGGCGGCCTGGCGGGTAATGCCGAGGCTGTAAATGGAACTAAGGCTGTTTCTGTATCATTTCAAAGCGGGGAGAGGCCTCCGCTAGTGGCAGGAGGAGAAAGCTCTTTCAAGCAGCATCGTGAACAGTGGGGCATAGACAGGAAAATTCATTTTCAGAAAAAATAGGCTGGTGAAATATTTCTCTCCATGTCTTAAAGGGAACAGTCTCACGTCTCTGGTGCGATCGGGGTGTGGTTTGGAAGTGGGAGAAGAGCAGACTTGAAATCCTGAAGATCACTGCAAACTCGGTCTCCTTCAGAGCCCTAATTATTACGTATTTCCTGTGTATACATCTTACCTTGCAAGGAGACGTGGGTTTCACTACGTCTCCTCCAGAGGGGTCAGAAGAGTGCCTGGAGAAGCAAGGGCATGCCGAGTAAATGCTTGATTATGACCTTCTCAGTGTGCGTCATTTCCTTCTATCAAACCCACAGGGAGACTGAGGGGAATCAGACAAATATAACTCAAATGATACAAAGGGTAGGGAGCCTCTTATGACACGACTTGTAAGCATCTTAAATCTGGAAAGTTGAAGAGGACAAGAGCTCTGGAGTATGATTTTAACAAAATCCCATGTACTCAAAAGTGACCCTGGGGGACACCTTTTAATACTGCAGAGCAATAATCTCAGATCTAATCAAACGAAATGCTTTTTTTTTTTTGCATTATACAAATTAAGTTTAGGGAAACTTCTCATGCAAGTCAAAAGGAGGCCGAACACAGATGTATTCTCAGAATGACTGAGAGGAAGGTGTGATAGGAAGATGAGAGATGGGAAAGGACCCCCCTGCACCCTTCTGAGGAGGGTCTGTGTGCTGACGCCGCCCGCGGCCCGGATGGACTAGTGATTCCCGGGCCCGCAGCTCCTTGTGCACGTTTCTCACTTAATCTCTCTCTTAATCGTCTTCAAGGCAACTCTCATGACCCCCACTTGTAACCCAACCATCAACCCCACCCCTGCCTATCGTAAAACTATAGTTTTCATATCTATAACCTCATTTGACTCAAGTGACAGGTTTCTTCCGCAATAATTTTTTTAACAGAAAATTTCTTAAGGGCTTGATATTCATTTTCATTTATCCTGTACCTCACCTAGTATCTGGAAAACGGGAAGCACACAGTATATGAATGACGAAGAGGTGGATGGGTGGATGGATGGAAGGATAGATGGATGGAAAGAAGAATGGATGGAAGGATGGATGGATGGATGAATGGATGGGTGGATGAATGGATGGCTGGATAGATGGATGGAAGGATGGATGGATGGATGGATGGATGGATGGATGGAAGGATGGGTGGGTGGATGGATGGGTGGATAGATGGAAGGATGGAAGGATGGATGGATGGATGGATGGAAAGATGAATGGATGGAAGGAGGATGAATGGATGGGTGGATGGATAGATGGAAGGATAGATGGAAGGATGGATGGGTGGATGGATGAATGGATGGGTGGATGGAAGGATGGCTGGATGGATGGATGAATGGATGGGTGGATGGATGGATGGAAGGATGGATGAAAGGATAGATGGATGGAAAGATGAATGGATGGAAGGATGGATGGATGGATGGGTGGATGGATGGATGGATGGAAGGATGGATAGATGGATGGGTGGATAGATGGATGGAAGGACGGATAGATGGATGGATGGATGGATGGAAGGATGGATGGATGGATGGATGGATGGAAAGATGGATGGATGGATGGATGGATGAGGGCTGCCTGGATGGACAGATGGGAGGGAAGGGGGGGAGGGATGAAGGAGGAGACGATATTTTTTTTCTTTGTAGTAAATTTCTGTAAATTATACCCAGTCTGAGACTCTCATCTGGAAGAACTACAAAATAAATATGATCTAAATTTGCAAAGCTTACAAATTTATTAGTGGCTTGTGCAGTAACTTTTCCTTTGATGTTTCTGTGGCAAAACTAGCAACAAATTAATAAAAGCTTAATTTTTATACAAATAGTTTTATTACAAATTTGAATTTTTAAGAAATACACATTTAAAGAAATTACACAAAAGGCCTTAGTAGTCTTAAAAACGTTTTGGAGACTTTTAGTAAAATGTCGTTTCAGGCATAGCGGTCCAATCCTGCTCTCCTGCAATGCATCCGCTCCCCTGCTGAAGTCTGAACACAACTCACGAAAAACCAAGGAAGCCGCCTGCATGTGCTTACAGGTAAACATACGGATATTCTGATTCGACAGAGTTATTTCTCACACCAGGCTGCAGAATGAGGAATACTCATAAAATGAAGGCCTTTTAAGTTTGTTGCTTTTGAAGTCAAGTCATTCAGTTTGTGATTAGTGTTTAAAACCCTGAAGATGTTTCATACAGAATAAAAACAAGAAGCTCAAAGTACACGTTTTCCTGTAATAGACACCACATCCGTGAAGCCGGGTTTGGTTTTGGCAACACACAATTTTTGGTTTGGAGGTGAACAATGAAAACTGGTGTTTCACATTCAATACCCTAGTGTTTAAAAATCTCTGTTAAAGGACAACACAGGCTTTTAAAGGAAGAAACTATGTAAGCTTTATTTTAACAGTGGAAATGAAACTACAACTTGACCTGCCTAATTGCTGACATCTATATAAATTACTAAAATATATATATATTTCATTTCTGCCTACTTTGGGGACCATCTTTATTCCACAGGAAATCCGGGACTTTTGCAGAAGCAGCTGCAGAGTACCAAACAGAGCAGAAAGACCGAAATTTCTCTTTGGTGGGGCGGTCGGAGGACAGGGCTACTAGGCCCCCGTCCTTCCCTTTGGAGGTTCCAACCATCGGCTTAACACGACTATTATTTGTACAGACTGAGGGACCTGAATTCTGAAACAGTTAGACAGTGATATCAACAGACGTTTCACCTGGGGTGTGAAATGGATCTGTTATAATACAAAAATGCAAACGGGCTTCACCCAGGTTGGAAGGTCCCACAGCCCTCCTAGCACCCTTTGGTTTTTCTGATGGGTCTCACTTCACACATCAGTGCACTGGACTGTAGAACAGACATATTTTTTATTTCATCAGAAGTGCCATTTGGGACTTCACTACGGGCAGCTTATCGTGGTCTTGGATTCTCCTTCAGCAAGTAGAGGCCAACGAAGCAGGGTGTGTTAGTCATGCAGATTCCTATCAGGCACCTTACAGTTTTCATACTGGACAGTGAGGTACACAGGATATATTTCTAGAGTTCGTTGCTGTTAGAAGGAGGGAAGAGGGCGGAGTAGCACCATGTTGTGAAGTAGCTGAGGGCCGGCTTCGTTATGTTCTCCGCATGCACACTTGACAGCGACTGACATGCGTGCGCAGCTCTCCAGCCTTCAAGGTGGACGGCGTGGGCTTCCTGAAAGGCAGCACAGAAGTCAGTGTCACCGCGTGGCTCAGGCCAGCTCCTCGGCCCTCCCTCCCATCAGAGATCCCCAAGGAACCAGCCTTCACCCCGCCTATGAGCGGGTACCGCGCTGGGGGCGTCCCACGGCCTCGGTAACGCCTGCGAGTTGTCATCTGCATCCACCCTCGGGCCAAGGGTACAAGGCCAGCGAGGGCACAGCCAGAGCCACCCACGTCTGTCTGACCCCAAAGTCTCAGCCACTCCCCACCACAGACCCTGCCTCTTCAAACTATAGGTTAACCTTCTGCTTCCTCTTCTCAACTCGGTTACAAACACCCCCAGCCTAGGAAGATGTTCTTCTCTGAGACACTTCACACACATCCTAAGTGCTCATTAAATCATTGCTGAATGACAGAATGAGCAACAGATCTGGAATAATCAACCAGACCTCAAAATACATTCGTAACTTTTGAAAGTTGTTCACGCAGGTGGTCGGATTAGAGGCCAAAGACAGGGGAAGACATTTAGTGTTCCAAATGCTTCCTTTATCCTAGGAATTCTGTTCTTTGGCTATTGGAGAAGTGAAGTCTGAACTAAAATGAGTACTAATCAAATCTCATTCAAATTAAAGTAGCCATGTAATAAGAGTACCTTGTCCTAAAATTGAGGTGGCTTACGTTAGCAACAACTTTGGTGAAAATCCTAGTGCCCCCAAATTATTTAAATTAATGGGATCTTACCTAGTTTTGTTTAAGAAGGCATTTCAGTTAATTGTACCAGGATGCTGGTTCAGAAAAAAACCCCAAAAAACAAAAAGCCCATTGTTACCTGTTAACCCTATAATGGGCAGCCCCGGGGGCTGGCGCTCATTTCGGTAGCTAATGGTCAAATTCTATCTGGAGAGTTGACGTCAAGTTCCCAGTTGCCTAGAAAGTCTCGTGTGAGCTACTAGAAAGGCACCCGGTAGTTTTTTGAGGCTTAGAAATTTACGAGTAGTGAGCGTGTTGCTTCACCTTTATGATCTAAACTAGAAAGAGACAGGGTCATAGCAGAGGTCCACAGAATTCTCTCCGAAAAGGCTTATCTCCAGGGCCGAGAAGCACTTATTTGGGGGACTGAACAGTAAGTAATTGTTCAGCCCCATCGGCGCCCGGCGTCCGCTCCAGCAGGGCTGCAGCTGGTACTAAGTACCGGACAGAGGCCTCATTATGTGTTCCCGTCCAGTACAGACTGGGCCCCGCTCCAAACTAACTTCAAGGTCAACGGCCACTTGGGACCGTTGTTTTAAAGGTGAAATTTTGGTAGTGGAAACGAAAGAAGAGGTTCTCCGTATCCATTTCGGTGGCATTTGTGCTGAAATTAATTTTCATGCGCAGGCCTGAAAAACGGTCACTGATAACTCGCAGTATGTACATCCAATTCGGCATCATAAACACCATGAAAACCAAGGCTATTCACTTTCTCTCGCCCTGCTGGTTAAAGGTGCAATGCTTTAAAATGCTCTGTTTGCTGATTTTAGTTGTCTTAATGACGCTGCCGTGGATTCACCTTGAAACACTGAAAACTGAACTTTTTTCTCTCAGGGCTCTTCAGCAATGAACGAAGGAAGCCTGTCGCCTAAGCTCTGCTTTGAACATGGTCTTCATTATCTGCCCACGTAGAACAGAACCAAGTATCTGTTCCTATCCTATCCTATCCGTGGAAGAAGCCTTCCTAAGGATTGCTGTAGAACCGTCTTTGGGACTTGGCACCGGAGCACGTGTATGGATCATGGATGACTGAAAATAAAAGCCACCAGGGGTGGGGGGGAGGGGGCGAGGGGGGCACTTTACTTGAACATCTGGCCTCTTTCTATCGTGGCAAGCCAAAAGCTGTAAGCGTTTGCATAGTAATTGCAAGTCCCGCGGCCGTGGCACTCGATGAAGGGGGCGCTTCTGAACTCTTCCAGACAGGACCCAGGGGAGGCCAGGGCTTGGCCAGAACCTTCCGCTCCGGCGCTGGTGTGCTGCGGGGAAACAGGAGCCGTGAGCCAGAGGTGCCCGCCCACCCCGACGGGCTTCCCGGGCCCCAGGGAAGAGCCGGGATGCTCCCTCCCGGAAAGCCGCCCTCTCTGTCTCCCGAGGCCACCGGGGAACACACTGGCAGCCACACCGCCCCATGGCCTCACGCCGGGCACACCCAGTGCCAGGAATCAGCCGACCGCTCCTCCCGGGGTGGGGTGGGGGGAGGTGACTGGTCCAGCTTCACCAACATTTCAACAAACGCTGTCCTCACTGTTTTCTTCTTGGAACACTGAAACCTCTTCTAACTTGGGGCGTGAGATGACAGCCAAAATGTGTGGAGGATTCTGGGACCAACTGATGTGACATCAGACTTTCTAAACGAAATTATACGGGACCATCAAAATCCTTTGTTTGCTACATTAGGTAGCAAAATCCTTTATTATTTGCTACATTAGGTAGCAAAATCCTTTATTTACTACATCCTTTATCCATTTTCTTTTCTTTAAGAAGAGAAAACTTAAACAAGAGAAAGAGGGAAAAGAAAGCTACTGTGGTAACTGTTTGTTCAGTTGGGTTGAAGTAGGCTCACCTGTCCTCAGAAACCAAGATGTAAAATGAATGACGTACAAATGGAAGATATGGCAAAACCTCTACAGGACGGCTATTACGGACATAAGAAAAGTGAACTCTGGAATTTTAGAGCCATAAGGGACCTCTGAGGACAAAGCTAACGCCCTTGATTCCCAGATGAGGACCCCAGGATCCCAGAACATTCCAGACCACACTTCCCTGGCAAAGCTGAGATGGGAACAGGCCTCTGGAGGCTGCCAGATCTGAGCCCCTCAGCTTCACCACAAAGCCCCCAGGCTCAGCAGTGATGGGATGCCTGTTCTCCAGAACCTCATCATTTTGATTTGCTCTTGGTTTTGAGAAATTATGGGCAATCGTTGTTCAGATCCTTGTATGACACCAGGACAAGGGACGGGGAAGTGACAGAGTGCTTTCCTCCATTCTTTACTCCTTGGATCAAGGGCCTCTTCTGTCAAACTGAGACTCCATCTAGTATTTCTTATGATAATGGAGTCGAAAGTCCAATCTGTCTTTGAGTCAAAGTTGTATGCTTACATCATTGCGAGCATCTTGATTTCTCTACACCATAGTTCTAACCTTTCTGGCTTTCTTGATAAAGTAGTCGCCAGGCAGTATTTAGAATTATCAAAACGACTTGCTAAATTTTGTTGTTGCAATTTTCTGGGCCTGTTGAAGAGTCTATATGCGGGATCTTCAACCCAGGAAATCCCACCATCCGACTGGTGAGAATCCAATACACAAGCATGTGAAGAACTGCTTTTCTGGAAACTTCTACACTTGGAATAACTTACAGCAGAAAACACAGTTAAGAGGCCACTTTCCCTGTCAATCAAATAACAAGGCTAATGTTGATTTGGGGGTCACAGGCGCGTATGACCTGGCCACACCTGGGAGTGTGAAGATGGGGCTGGGCTTACAGTGGTGATATGGGAAATGTTTGTGGGGGATCGTTTACCGGGAGTGATTCAGGTGTAGCCTGATCGTCCAAGTTCAGAGCTTCTGTGTTTTCAACCAGTACTTTAAACTGAGGCAATAAAATAAGAAACTACAACGGGATCTCAAAAGGGTGCTGTGTTTCCTGTTCTAATTGGCTTTTGGGAGAAAGGGAGCATCGGGGGTCTGGCATCCGGGGCAGCTGGGCGGTAGGAGAGCAGACTCACATGGGAAGGGTGTGGACCCTCGGGCCCCTGACACCGGCCAGTGCCCCCCCTCTCTTCCTGACTCTAGCTTCTGCTTTGGGGCTTGCAAGCATTTTGGTAAATGTGTGCCCACCACGGGCGCGCCCTCTCCTTCCCCCCAGGAGGCGCTGACTCGGAATCTCATCAGGTCACCCAGCTTCCTAGGCCCAGAACAGCCACTCCGTGGAAGAGGAGGGCTCTGAGCCGGAGCTGGATCCCCTGCTGTCCTCTCCCAGGGGAGCAGGCCAGGCTCCTGGAGACACTTTGCAGGGGGCCCCAGGAGCGAGAGAAAAGAGGTGGGGTGATTGTGGGCAGCTCTTTGGGGGAAATACGGAGTTTCCCCAAACACTTACCATCACAAAGGAGTAGCCAATCCAGAGCGAGGACCAGCCGCTGGGGCACTGCGGGATCTGGATCGTTTGGCTGTGCACAGCCATGACCATGGCCGGAGCCTCACACACAGCACACCTGGAAGGCACGGAGCAGAGACGCTCAGCACAGCCGAGCGGGGCCTCCACCGGCTCGCCCCTTTCCCCATTATCTGCGCTCTGTCTCGCCACTCCAGCTTTCTGACCCAGTGATGTGTTTTACCAAATAGATCAGGTGTCCCCTGCTTGGACTCTGAGGCTTAGGGTCTTCTCACTGGTTTGATAAGCCTGCCTCAGTATTCAAACATTAAGCTCAAAGCCAGGCCCAACACTTGTCATTTAGCCGTCTACTCTGTAGCAGGAAGGAAACTGGAAGGCCAGGTGGTAATAGGGACCATCTCCTGAGGCGCTGGGGCTGCAGGAGACTTTTGTGTTCTCCTTTGTGTATTTCAGTGTCTTCCAGTGTTTCAGCAACGAGTGTGGATTTCAGCAAACACGATGAATGCTCCAGAAAAAGGAGATGGTGCAATCCAAGGGCTACCGCTTGCGGAACACGGCGACTTGTTTTAAGCCCTGAATCATCTTCCGTGTGAGGAGAACATTTAGTGAATTATAGTAACTAAGACAGATAAGAAACCCAGGGCTGGCTGTCCATGTGAGCCTCTTCCGGAGACTCTCTCCAGACCTGGAACCAACAGACCAGTGAGGGGGCTCTGCCCCAGGCCGGACTGGACGTTCCCCAAGCCAGGCTGGCTCGTGCGCAGCCGCTGGGACTGCACCCAAGAATAAATGACAGCAACACACAATGTTCTGACTCAGACCTGCTCTACTAAGCGACCCTTTGATGCTGGGATAACGTTTTGTTGAAAAAAAAAAAATTTAAACATCAGCAGTAAAATAATTATATTCAAGTCACAAACTGAACAGAATGCTAACAATGCTGGTAAATGACTATAAATGGTGTTAATAATTACACCTAGTTATGCCGGAGCATCTGCATGAAAATGGATTAGGAGTGTGAAGGGGCCGAAATGAGTCATTCGGTTTCCCGTGTGCGTGCGTGTGTGTGTGTGTGTGCGCGCGCGCGCTATTTTCTATTTTATTCACACAAATGCGGATGAATTAAGGGGCTCAGCTAGACAACAGTGACTGAAATTGGCCTTCTACATCTGCCGCCATCTGCCTGCCAGACACAGGAGCAGACATACAGCACAGAGGAAAGTGTTTCATGTCAGGCTCTCTCTGGGCTGGCGGATTCAAGCCGCTGCAGAGACGTGGTCTGGACCCCGTCCGATGGGTGCTAGGGGACAGAAAATCACAGATTTAACGAGCCAGGAGGTCCCTTAAAATCCATACACTCTCATTCCCCATATTACCTATGAGAATATGAGACCACAGTGAGTTGTGTCAAAAGGCAGAATTAGAACACAGTTCCTACTCTCACACCAGTGGTTCTTCAATCTAGAACAATTAAACAGTCCGTAGTTTTTGATGATTCATGTCTGCAGAGAGTCGGAAAGTGCTTAGAAAATTTTGTCAGGATGACAGCAGAAAAGTTGGTACTTTTTCTGCTTAAGAGGAAGGATTTTGTTATTAACTCCTTCTGAAATTAAGCTTTAGGACGTCCCCAAAAGGGAGACCTCAGAAGGAACCTGTGAGTCCTGAGAAGTCGTCAGAAACCACTAGGTTAAAGTAACCGTGGGACCTGGGCGCTCAGAGACCCAGAGGAATGGGCAGCATTATTACAAAAAGGGATGTGAGGTGTGTGTGCTTTCGGAGCAGTGACTTAAAGGATGTGACTTCTGAGGTCACATCAGACACCGTGCATCTGTGGGTCAGTTAACAGGGAGACGTGAAAACCCCGAAATGGGCAGCGCTGGGGCGTTTAAACAACTCATGGTAATGGGTCCACAGAGAAAAGCAAGTCTCAGACTTGAGGCTTCTCCTGGACCTGTTTCTGGAATGTCCTAAACACATCCCAGAGCCCTGTGTCCCAACCAAATCAAGGTCAATGTCAATTTTATCAAGATGGTAAATAGAAGACAAAAACGAATAATCATTTTCTACCTGTTGTCCAAGGAAAGCTAAACAGAAACACAAAGGTGATTAGCGGTTAGTTCCTGTTCTTGTGCACCCAGCATGGTTCTGGGTGAGAAAACGCAGCACAGCTCAGCCCCCAGGGACCCCGACACATGGGAAGGACATCTGTGTTTTGAGAGGTGCCTCTCTGGAAGTTACCAATGACTCTTCCCATTTTAAGACCCATGAGATAAGTTTTCTTACAGCTCAAAAGAAAAATCTTAGAAAGCTGTCAGGAGATATTTTGAGGTAAAGCCATCAAAAACCTGATTTTTCAGGCTTCCCTGGTGGCGCAGTGGTTGCGAGTCCGCCTGCCGATGCAGGGGACATGGGTTCGTGCCCCGGTCCGGGAAGATCCCACATGCCGCGAAGCGGCTGGGCCCGTGAGCCATGGCCGCTGAGCCTGCGCGTCCGGAGCCTGTGCTCCACAACGGGAGAGGCCACAACAGTGAGAGGCCCGTGTACCGCAAAAACAAAACAAAACAAAAAAAAAAAAACCTGATTTTTCCAATAGGCATCTCCCAGCCTTTCTGGTCCAGGTCTACGCGGTACATTCTTTTAACAAGACTGTTCTGTGAGGACCAGCCTTCCACACTCTGGAGCTACGGACCCCATAAGTGACCAGTCCACCCCGAAGTAGGTGGTGACCATCCAGTGACGGGTGGTCACCACACGGGGTGCTGGGCTGCTCCAAGCACCCACCCCGTCCCACCTCCCCTCTGACTCCAGACACCTCTCAGCCCACATCACTAGTCTTTCTTCCTATTCAAAAGCTGCTATTTCTCTAAAGGAAACACAGAAAAGCTTCCATTCTTCCTCACTCTCGCTTTCCTAAGGAAAACTTGTCCTGCCTTGTCATTCTTTTCACCCTTTACTATCTTCGCGTGTAAAAGTGAAATTAGAGACTAGCTTCTCAGTCAAACAAGTTCACACCTTTGCCACTGTTCTATTTCTTCTGAGTATAGTTAAGGAAGCAACTTTTAATTAGAAGGAAAGAGGCAAAAGTAGGAAAATCGTGTACTTTTCGGTCACAGTCATTTCAATTTCCCATTTTATTTCCTACCAGGAAGACTCTTGGGGACCTGAAAACATACCCCAGACATTAATTAGTGTGGAAAGCACTTAATTTGGGAAGTCGTTCAAACACATGCAGTCTCAGTGGGTACCACATCACCTCAAGAGTGCAAAGACTGGTGGGGTGGAAGAGAGTGAGAAAAATCTTAGGATGTACACATGTTAATGTGCACGATACATCAGTATCATCTTTCATATCTAAAGCACAGACATACAGTATGTCCGTGGTGTCGTCATTTCCTGGGGACCGCCTTACACCACAGTTAAGTGCCACTGAACTGTACACTTAAAAATGGTTAAGACGGTAAATTTTATGCTACGTGTTATGTTACTTTATGTTATTGTTTTACTACAATTAAAAAATAAAAATTTTTAAAAAATTTCTTGGGGGTGATTCCAAAAACTATATCTTAAAAGACTCCTTAGGGAGATAATTATTTAAGAAAGAAAAAAGCTGCCAAGCTGTTCTAAAGTTTGCCGGGGACTCCAGCGACACTGCTGGTTCATGGCAGGGAAGGCAGCCACCCGGTGAGTCACACAAGATAACACGTCTTGTTCCAAAGCCGGGCCTTATCTCACCAAGGGTTTGCACTAAAATTTTTTAAGAAGATAACCGACTTTTACGTCCAACTATTTGTATGGCTGATTTCTGTTACAAAACTCAGGTATCACAATTAGTAAACGGAATGGCAATAGATCAAATGTTTGGGGGAAAATGGAAAAACACAATAATGACCTCTGTCCTGGCTGTGAGCTGCTTTTCTTCGTCAATTGTATGTGTGCTCCGATGAGCTGCACTCACCTGCTGATGAAGGGCCTGATCCCCTCCCCGGTGATGGGCGCCATGGACATGGGCATAGGCTCCGGGGTGGACAGCCAGTACGAGTAATCATTTCGGGAGGCGAAGTTGCAGACGTTGTTGATGTTACAGAAGAGGAAGGGCATCGTGCTGAACTTGCGCAGACAGCTGCCCGCCGTGCCTGGAGACGCAGGGAGAAGACATTGCTTGTCATTCCCAGTCTGCCTCGACACAGAATGCAAGTGAGCTAGCTAATAAAGACATCTACCCCACCCATCCGCTAAGGTGGAAATAAAAATGTTTTGCCAATTACAGAAAGAAGGAAATAAATGTACCAAACAGACTAGTATGACTGGAAATGAGCATTAAATTCAATGGAAAGTGATCCAGGCCAAAGGGAAACCATCAAGAATTAGCAGGATGAACAGAAACAAAGCAGTTCATCGGTAGAGGGAGACCTTTTCCTGCAACTGAATTCTAGAAGGAACTTAACGTGCAGCTCCTTGTACCACAGCTAGTAACTCACTGGGTCGCGTCTTTCATGAAATGCAGAGCTGTCTTTATATGTGTTTGCAACCTCAGGGAAAGTTAGAGGTGTATAACATTAAAACATAATTTGGTGGAGCAGATCCGGAGAGGGTTAAGAGAAGGATGACAAACACACAACTCTCTATTGATCTAAACTAATAGAAGGACAGAGGAATTTTGGACAGGATAACGTGGACATTTTTTAAAACAGCAACGGTAAAGCTGCTCTGTTTTGTGACTATGAATGCAGACTGTTAAGTGTGTACTCCAGATACCTCGATCCTACTTGATAATTGGAAGAAGACGTCAAAAGTTTTATTAATTTAAAATTTTCAAAGAGTCACAGCCTTTATGTCTGCCTTTATGTCTGGCTTCCCACTAGTAATATGGGGGCTGTCGGTAAGGATGGCCCACTTGGTAGGGATGGAGGGAAACAGGACTCTTTTCCTTGACTGGGTCTCGGTGACACTCCGAAACGCAGGACCAGAGCGGGAACACAGCCCGGCACCACCCAGCGCTGGACACGCGACGTGGAATGAACACACCCATCTGTAGATGCCTCACCCAAGTCCTGGCCGTGCGCCCGCTCATTGCCTTGTACGTAGAGCAGAGAGTACCCATGGTAGAGGATTTTGGTCCCAGGAGGACACTGGGGGTCGTCTATTGTCTGACTGTGCCTGGTCACGAGGAAGCCGTGATCAACAGACGGGGTGCCCGGGGGACCCATGGATCCCGGCAACCCATCAGGGCCGGGTGGACCCGGGAAGCCTCTTGGACCTGAAAGACAGCAGAGAAATACGCTTCCTCAGTTACAAACAGGCGAGACTCAGTACAACCACCACCTCCCTCGTGCCACCTCAGCTTCTCCCCTCTGCATCCCACCTGGAGATGTTTTATACGCATGGTGCTTGGTGCAAAGCAGAAGCTCATAAACTCAGTCCAATGAATAAATGAAATACATGAAAATATAAATATATGAACAAAGGAAGTAAATGACATGACTCCACGCATGTATTCATGCAGCATTTGGGAGCTCCTCTGAGGGAGGATTATTGTAGGATGATTAAAACGACCGTCTTTTAAGGTAGCTTCCCAGCCTTAGTGGCCCAAAGCCAGCATATGGAATCAAGGGTGGAAGGAAGCTCCCGTGCAGGGTGTCCTCCTGTCCCCTGGGCGACCACGCTGCCTGCAGGATGCTCACAGGCCTCCTGCTGGGCTGGGCGCTCTGTCTACTTAGTTGCACCCTCAGCCTTTGGCATCCCAGCCACGATGGGACCTCTGAGGTCCTGCTTCTTGGGAAGCAGATCAACTTCAGTCCACGCCAGTCAGTGGCCTTCCGGTACCATCGTCTGCTCGCCTTGCCCTTCGCTGAAATCGAGTGTCTCAGCTGCAGACTCTTAGAAAACCAGATAGGGCTGTCCCTACTGGCCTTCTTTCAATAACGTCTGGGAGGCACTGAGCTCTGATCAACATGTCTCCCTACACAGAAAAGAATGATGGCAACCCTTAGCTCCTCTGTAAGATCCTGTTTCTCCTAAGAAACAAACTTCTATGCAAATCTTTCAAGAAACACTTCCTTTTGCAGGTTTCCACGTGCCTGGGCCTAAGGCTTCTAACCCGAAGATGCAGATCGAGGGTAGTGAGGTTGGGACAGCACAGCAAACCTACCAGGAGGTCCAAAGGGTCCTGCCTCTCCTTTCTGGCCAGGGGCCCCATCAAACCCGGGAATACCTGGTGGCCCAGGTAAGCCCACAGATCCTGTCACACCTAAAGAGAGGAGAAACAATTCATGATCCGGTTGTGGAGAGCAATAAATAGGCCGTATCTGCTTCTTCCCTTTTGAAATGTCTTCTTCGGCCCCCTGAGAGGGACGCACAGGGCCTCGGACTACAGGTGGGAAAGCTTTCCCAGAAAGCCAGAAGGTTAACACACACTCTGCAGACCGACACCCACACGGGGCGCCTCGTCTCGGAATTCGGGGTTCTCCCCGGCTTCTTCCTGTTCTTGTTCTTGTTTGGCACACAGTTTGGGGAAAGGCAGTCACATGGGGGTAGGGGGAGATCTGATGCATTTGCATTTTCTCAGGTGTTTCCCCCCTCTCGGCCACGTTCTGGTGTCTCAGATAATGTTTAGGCACCGGGTTTATTGACGTGGGTAGTTTTTTTGTTTTCATGTGTGTGGTTTATTCCTAGGTGGTTAAAACAAATTTTCATGGATGCTACCTTTCTACTCTAAGTGTTTTCATTCTTCCATCCCCACTCCTCAGCAATAGCTTTGGAAGTAAGGAGTGTTTAGCCCCAATAATCAGAAAGATTCTAGCTTAAGGTGTCCGGGAACCACAGGGATTTGCACAGATCTTGGCCACTTGGGTAGAGCTTTTGGGCCGCCGTGGAGAACACCCATCCCTACAATTCTGGATTGCTGCTTCCTGCAGTTCCCTATCTCCTCGCCGGGAGAGATGCTTTTCCCATTCCTTTGCCCATGTTTTTCTAAGTGAACATAGACGTATTGAGTTGTGTGCTGCCCTAGCTTTCCTTGGCTTTCTTTTTCTGACCTTGTTAGGCCTCTTCAGAAACTTCACGTGGTTTTGACATACACTGAAGGAAGGTAAGAAAGTCATCTTCAAATACGTGTTTACACAGTCACTGCCCAGAGGCTGTTGTGAGACATGCGGGTGAAGAGGAAACGCCGCCCGGGTCAGCTCCCTCCCGCCTCCACAGCCCTCTGCACAGCGCGGTTATTCCTACCTTGTTGTCCTTTGGGGCCTGGAGGTCCCTGAAGCCCTTTCAGACCTGCGGGGCCCTCAGGACCAGGGAGCCCTGGCTCCCCTTTGATGATGTCGTATGGACCCGGGGGGCCCGGGGGACCAGGAAGACCTGTGGGAATCAGGGCAGCCACTGGTCAATTTCACAGTCCACATTCAGGGCAGAAACAGCTTCTGACATGAAACCCAATCAAACGCAGTGCTTCTCACAAGGAGGATCACTATCAAAACCACGAGGGACCAGACCCTCACGACGAGACACACGGGCATCTGCGCGTCTCTATTATCTAACCTAGAATCCTGAATCCTCGGGACTGGAACAGACCTCGGGGTCACCAGTGTCAAATGTCCACTCAGATCTGGAGGCCCTGATGGACCCCTGACCCAAGGGGAAGCTCATCCCCCTCAAGGAACCACCCCTCACGTGGGGAGCTCCACCAGGTGAAATTAGGACTTTTTTCTCGTACGTATCCGAGATCTGCCTTACTGCACACCAGAACCACTGGTCTTAATCTTTCAGTGCTGAGTAAACGTAAACCTCCTCCTGCCTGACGGGCCCTGAAGTACACAGAGCGGCCACGTGAAGCTGGGGGCCTCGGGTCTACTGCAGCCGCCCTTTCCTCCGTTTCCTCGCTCCTCCCACGTTTCCCCATTTATTTTCTCCCCGAACAATCCACTTCTCAGTGCATTCTGGTTGCTCACTCCCTCTCTTGAAACACGGTCTTGAAAACTAAACGCAGCCCTCGAAATAAGCTCTGACCCGCAGAGACCAGGATGGGATGCAGACTCCCTCAGACCACTTCCTTCTAAGACCAGCTGTGTCTCTGGAGCCACTCGGCACGTCTGGCTCCCCGTGGAGAAGCTAAGGCAGCCCCTTTCTTAGAAAGAACTCCATACTGTCCAGCCACAGTTTGTTCAGCCTGCAAGACGGACTTCGTTCCTGATTTTTACGGCTGATTTCCGTCTGCCCTCAGAGCCTGTGAGATTTTGTCTCTCACCCCTTTCCACTGGATTTATCTCAGGCACAGACTTAACAAACTTGACTTTCAGGACAAGTCGTTGGTAAAAATGTCAACTAGATTAGCCAAATATAGGAACCCTGCCAAGTGGCCAAAGAATTTTCAACTGCTGTTTTCTAATGACCAAATTCTCTTACCTTTAGTTCCAGGGAAACCTTGGTCTCCTTGGTCACCTTTAACTCCCTGAAGGCCAGGGAGGCCTTTCTGCCCTGGTGGAAAGTAAAACACTGTCTTTGCACAGAACTCCAAACAATAACCGTGTGTGTGTGAATACACACAGTATATACATATATGCACATACATGTACACATATGCTTATGTGTACATATACACACCTACATACATATACACGTATAATACACGCATACACACACACAGTGAACACATTTCCAATTTATGCATGTGGAAGAAAAGAACATTACTTGTAGTCAGCTATGTAAAACTTTTGATGAAACTCTTCTTTCTAAAACCCAGAGGTCACATTTTTCCAAACATGCAGCAAACCATAAAATGGTCACAACCAGTGGAAGAGCACGTGATTCTGTTTTTGGTCATGATCTGGTTCACACGTGTCCCCAACTAGACCACAAGATGCCTGCAAGCTGAGAACTGGTTGTATTCACCTTTCATTCATATGTACCTGATGCTGCAGTAAAAAAAATCAAAGTGCCTGGAAGCTGGTAGGCACCCAATAAATATTTGCTTCAAACATTAAAAAATTAATGAATGGCCCAAATCCATGACTTCTCATTGAGATGCAAATGATCCACTGATTCTTAGTACGAAAATCAGAATGTCTTTATACTGCTATGCATGGGATTCTACAAACGGGGCAGCCCCCCAGAAATGGCATTTTAATTTGAAGAGAACAGGATCTTGTACTGCAATGCTAGGCCTATCAACAGGAAAGCACCAGGGGCTGTGGCTCTGGTGGCAGGTAAATGTGTCTTCAAGCGGCATCTCCCTTATGTCTTACCTTGAAACCCTGGAACTCCTGGAGGTCCCATATCACCCTTAGCACCTGTAGCTCCTGGAGAGCCACCGACCCCCTAGACACACAAAGAGAACGTCAGTCGGGAACGGCTCGGGAGACACAGGTCCCTCAAGCAACTGGTAGTCAGGAAGTTGGGAACAGCCCCTCCATGTTCTGAAGTAGCTCTGTGAACGAATGTTGCCTGTGGTTGCTTAAAGATGTAAAAAGAATGACAAAACCTGTGTGTGCGCCTAAATTACGGAGCTGGAAATTGCAGCAACTTGCTTCAGTCACTCTGTCCCTTCTGCTTGTCCGCCTGTGTGGTAAATTCCAGGAGCAGATGTAAACCTTACATCCCACTGTCCCCACCCCATAGCACAATGCCATGAACAGAGTCGAAACTCCCTAAACATCGGTCATGGCAACATCTCAATCTATCAACACCAAAGAGCCTTTCTGGATGGCTTTACTCCCAACACTCAACCACAGCGATTTTTCTTTAAAATTAGCTTTGCATCTTTTCTTAAAAGTGCTTTTAAATATGGAAAAAAAAACCATAAAAAATACTAAAGAAGGATTATTTTCCTTTATAATACAGTGATATTTTTGTATTTAAAAAATATTATCTTAATTTCTAGATATTTCAACATAGTTGTTCCTTTCTCAGTATACAAAAAGTTGTAATGTTTCTTTGCTTTACCTTATTTTAAAAAGTGCCATAAGCAAAATTACATGCACAAACGTATATCTACATATGTGTACATATAATGCACATATGTATACATAGAGACAGACAGACACTGAATGGCACTAGGAATAGGGATATACTTCTATGTTACTGAGGCTTTCTTTTTGCATCATTTGTATATAGATTTTTAAACCCAGGCATTGAACTATAATCTCCAGTAGTATAACGTTTCACTTTTGATGGTTTGTGTAAAACTAGATTGTAAAAAGTTTTGTAATAGTTGCCTATCATGATGCCAGTAAAGATGGCTGATTACTTGCCAGAGAGAAGGGGCTGCTTCAGGGAGGATCTGGGAGTGTAACACACATGAATACACACATACACACACAAGTATTATCTTATGATCCTTTTCAAAAACAAGACCTGCCAAGGGACAACTCACCGGCATGCCCTGGAATCCTGGGTCTCCCTTGGGCCCTGGAGCCCCAGGAGTGCCCGGCCAGCCTGGGTTTCCCTTGTCACCTTTCAGCCCATCAAGCCCAGGGAGCCCTGGAGGCCCCATGGGTCCCGGAAGCCCTAATGGGAGACACAGAAGTCCCACGTTTGAGGTCAGAGGGTGGTTTTATGTGTAAGTGTCACTGGACTGTGGTCGTCACCACTGCCACCCAACTGTCCCCAACTGTCTACAACAACATCATTTAAGCAGCATGAGCCCTGAAGACATCCAGGCAGGTCCTAGAAGGAAGACTCTCCTCGACAGTCAGTAAACATCGATATAAAAACCACAGTCTCAGAGTCAAGTGCCCTGTGGTCTCTGTGCTCAGGGGTGGCTGCGCTGTAGGGCAGCCTCTACCTGTTCATGGGGGAACAGGTGTGACAGAAGGTCGTGCTGGTTTTAAACAACCAGCCACACATGGCATTTGTGCTCCAGTCCTTTTCAGTAATGGCCTTCTCCCTCTCCCCAATTGCTTGTTCCTTGAAAGAAAGAGCACGAGAAAAGCACTGACCCAATGGAGGCCTAGGTAAAAGGGGCCCAATGTCTTAAGCAGTTTCAATGGTAATAAATGTTGTAAACTTCTAAATAAAAAGCTCATTTGAGAACTTAATTATTCCAATTTCTTTGATACTTGTGGATGTTTGTGCCCCTGTTTCAGTCCCAGCTCTGAACCTAGTGACACACCCTTACCTGGCAGGCCAGGTTGGCCCTGTGGGCCCCGGTCTCCTTTGCGCCCCTCCACCGCGTGGCCCGGAGTGCCTGGCAATCCCGGCTGTCCCTGTGGCCCCGGAGGACCCATGAATCCTTGTTCTCCTTTGGATCCAGGAATTCCTGGGCTCCCAGCTAAGCCTGGGAAACCCACGTCACCCTTTGAACCTAAACAGTAAAGACAGGTTGAGATCACGGTGAAATGCAGGGAAGAAGAGAAATCCAGTGCACCAAAGAGGAGGGAGGGGCTTCCAGAAGGATCCAGGAGGAAACCGGAGCTGGTGCCCTTCTCTCTCCTTTTCATTAAATAACGTGCCAGACACCCGCCATGGCCCACCTGAGGAAGAGAAAGCTTAGGGTACAAAGAAACTGCAACCATTCTTTACACTTTTTAAAGGTGGTATTCTATGGCAAAGGCATTTGAATAGATGTGCAGACAAGCCTGCAAGGTATGGCATTGCTGAAATTAAGGGCTTGTTCTACCAACAGGTGAATGAATAAACAAACTGTGTTACAGCTACACCATGGAACACGACTCAGCAAGAAAAAGGAATAAACTATTGACACAACGAACAGCACAGGTGACTCAAATTCATTATGCTGCGCGAATGAAGTCAGGCGAAAACGTACATGCTGTAGGATTCCGTGAATGTAAAATTCTAGAAAATACAAGCTAATCTACAGTGCCAGAAAGCAGACCAATGGTTGCTTGGGGGGCAGGTCGGGGTGGGGACAGGAAGGAGCAGAGGGGGGGTGACAAGGCAGCCCAGGAAACTTTTGGGGTGACGATGCATTCACTGTCTTGAATGAGCTGATATTTTCATGGGTGTGTACATATACCAAGATTTGGCAAATTGTACACTTTAAATATATGCAATTTATTAGATGTCAGTGATACCTCAATAAAGCTGTTTTAAACAAATTTTTTTAAGTGAGAGCTTGTAGAAAAAACCCTGCATGTTGTTTTAAACATATTACCCCAAACTTGCCAACGAAATGACAAAATTCTAGGATTGCTTCAAGGTTATTAAGAAAAAATAAGGGGAGGAAACAGGGTCAGAACCTAGAAGGATGGTTGGGCCCTCCCTGGGATTTCCCCCCACCCCACTTCACAAGGCTATGGATCCGAAACACGCACGCCACGCAGTGGTTTGCCACGAGCCAGTAGAAAGTGGCAATTCGACTGTCCCCGACCCATAATCTATCACCCATGTCCACGTGCTTCCTTGTATCTGCTCGCCCTGCTCTGCCAGTGCCACGTGTATCAGCAGTTAGTTGAAAAGGAAGAACACATTTAGCAAATGTGTTACCTTTCTCTCCTTTGGCCCCTGGAAACCCTGGGAATCCTCTTCCGGGTAGACCTACGAGATAAAGGTAAGAAGTCCCGTTTATCTCTCCTAAAACAGCCGAGCTGCAGGAACAGCACAAAGCAATATCCACTCTTTGCGCCGATACCATATACTATTTGCGAAACACAGAGAAATTAGTCCATTGCACTTTGCAAGTAAAATTATATCACTACAGTTGTTCTAAGATACCCTTGACTGGATATATATATAATTTAGTACATTTTCCCAAGTACCTTTGAGCCCAGAACCATTACAGCATTTAGGAGAAACGATCTGTACAGATGGGTACTTATTTCCCATTACTGTCTGGAGACTCACCAATTGGCTTTTCTCAGATGACTATCCAACTAACAGCTATTCACAAAGGCAGTGCACAGAGCCAGTGATATTTGGGGAAGCAGACACCAGGGAGTCCACAAATGTGAGTAAAGCGCATAAGGGAAGATTCAAAGGGGGGAAGTAGGTGTGGAGGCATTTCTTACGAACTATTTTTATAGGAAAATGAATGTACATAATATAAACATAAGGCTCATAGAATGAAAGAAATGAACTATAGGAAGAGACCAACACTAACAGCCATGGATCCCCCTCCATGCTCCTCCCCAGCACTATTTCCCTCCCTCCATCCCCCTGACTGAGGGCAACCTGTTTCAAACTGTCTGTGTGTCACCCTCTTGCTATATACGAATATTATTACGTATGTGATTGTCATCATCGGAGCCCGCAGCTCACACTTTTGCCCAAGTTGCCGTGCTCCCATCAGTAACAGGAGCAGATTCTGGGGACTGAGAATATTCCCAGGACCGTTCCTCTAAAGAGGGAAAGGCCAGGCAGAGAAGGCAGCGGTCTGGGCTTTCTACGGTGTCTCCTTCACTCACACTGAGAGCTCAGGCCATTTTAAGGGTAGATGCCCATAAGTATTTGTGGAATAAATGAACATCCTCTTTCCCCTTTTCTCATCCAATCCTGCCCCACTTGCCCACATTGTTGCTTAAACAGCTGTAAGGATGTCACTTATGCCCAGCTTACACCCAGCTCCGGTCACTTAGCATGGAATGTAAGTCTCTGGGAGACGTTTACTCCAGAGCAGAGTCTCATTCTGAAAGGGAAATGGGAGCCCAACATACCTGGTTCACCCTTCTCTCCTGCCGACCCTGGGAATCCATCACTGCCGGGCTCCCCTTTCTGGCCGGCCGGGCCCGTGAGACCAGGCTTCCCAGGAAGACCTCAAAGAGAAAGGTCAGATCGGTCAGGCATGGAACCTATCACGGCACCGTGATCTGCATGTAAAATGCACCAATCCTGACATTTTCCCAGGGAGCTGTACCTCCCACCCCCTAGCATGCCCAGCTTCCCCGAGGTTACTCCTGACACCCCTTCAGAAGGGACCCTCATGTGGCAGCAACACCACTGCACAGTGACCCCCTAAAGCTCGTGAGAGTGGAGAGAAAGGACATCCATCTACCATGCCGAACAGGAAAAGTTTCTAGACCCAGTTGGAACTAGCTGTAAAACCAGTTCTAGGCCTAACTGGTGGAAAGACCCTAGAAGTCCCCCTAGACTCAGTTTGTTCATCTGGAAATGGAGGTGTGAGCCCAGCTGGTCATTCAGAGGTCACCCAGCCTTGATGCCCCTTGGCCTCTTCTCCACAGGCCCCCACCTGTGTCCTAAAACGTGGTCTCTACCTGCTTCTCCTTTGATGCCAGGGATGCCATCCAATCCCGGAAGGCCTTTGTCACCTTTTTCTCCAGGCAACCCAGGGCTTCCTAAAGAAAAACCAAAACACCAGAATTCCCATGACTTTGAGTTTCTCTTTGCCATCCTTGAACCCCGAGCTCAGGAGGAGGCCAGCTCACTTACCTGGATAGCCAACACTCCCTGGTGAGCCTTTGGGGCCCGGAGACCCGGGCATCCCTGGGATCCCACTGCTTCCTTTCTCTCCCTTCTCTCCAGGGCTTCCTGGAAAACCTGCTACCCCTTGGTCTCCCTGTGGGTGAAAATTGGGCCCATTAATGTCATATCTGTCCTTGGACATGCGTCTGGAGGTGCTTTCTGTATACATGGGAGTGCAATGACTATCGCATGGCAGAATTCCACTTCCAGCTTTCGAAGGGGAGACTCAAAGCCCTCTGAAAATGGAGGAAAAACTAGAAAACCAGAGCAAAGAGCAGTTGCCTGTTCTGCTTCTCATGTTCCTTCTCCATTTCTCCCCATGATAACTTGCTACCCAAGCTCTCAGCACGTCTCGGATCCTCCTTGGGGACACAGGCCATGAATAGAAGGGGGAGGCAGGGAGACGTAAAATCAACTGGAGAAACCGTTCTGTGTTATGATTCATCTGCTGTGTGGAGATGCTCAGTAAACGTTCCTCCAAAGCCTTTCTGTGGGGATGGGTGGGAGGGGCTTCCGCGGCGATGCTGTTACCTTCTCCCCGGGCCGTCCTGGAATCCCAATGCCAGGTAGACCCGCCTGCCCTTTCTCTCCTTTTGCTCCCTTTTCTCCAGGTGAGCCAGGGATGCCCTGCAGGCCAGGGAGGCCAGGCACACCTTTTTCTCCAGGTATTCCTAGAAACACACACAATTGAAACAGAACGTGTGCTTAGCAGGTGCTAATGTTAAAAATAGGAAAGCGTCTCAACTACCGGCCAAGAATGAGATGGAAGAACACGTATCCCCTCATTTCTCAAGCTGTAAGTGATCCAGGCAGGCGCCAGCCCCCCAGACCACATTAGAACCACGCCAGGAAACGTTCCTCCTGTCTTTTAAAGACAACCACGTTACAAAGGGAGAAAAAATACATTAACCGCTGAGCATGCTTCCTTTCCCAACAGCATTAAACATGGCTTCTATGTCTTTCGTTCCGTAGTCAAACCTCATTATCCGAATGAATCAGAGGGGGCGAGAGGCAGGCCATGGAGAGTAAAAGCGTACCTGCTTCCAGGACGGATGTGGGCAGTCAAACTAATTTATAAATAGGTCCCAGGGAAGCAGGCTTATGCCCGGCCCTGTAACTGACCCTCTGCGGCTGCTGGCTTGGTTGTTAGGGGCAGCTGTGAGTCGGTTGGTGATGCTATTGTAAGGAGAACTTGGATATTAAATTGCAGCCAAGGCCTGGGAGATTACTGCAACAAAGGGAACGCTGGTTGTTTTATTGCAACCAGCATCTGCCTAGCGGACTGAATGACAGGCCCAAGAGATTCGTTGCAAAAAGAATTTAAGAAGCCTTACTGCAGCCGCTGGGTGTTTATAGCTCAAGCAAAGTGACAACGCGCCTCGCAAAGACTTGGGAGGAGTGAGGGAGACAGGCTGGCTGCCCTGACTTCCTGCTCCAGGCAAGTTCGAGGAAGCAGTAGCACCTGGACCATCGGGGCCTGAGCCTTCCATCTGCTGCCTCTGCTCTGGTCGCTGTCACCGCCGCAAACGCTGATGGCAAAGCCTGGGAGGCCAGCTCGGGACCAGGGCGGAGGAGCCCAGGGGATTCTTCTGAGCTAACGTCAAAGGGCTTTACAGGCACGAGCTGCTTGCACTGACACAACTGAATGGAGAATTAATCACCTCCTCGACAGATCCAAGTAGACGGATCACTTGGAGGTAACTGAAAGTTCATAGTGCACAGCCCGTGTTTTATTTTATTAAACTGTGACGAGTTTTGTTTGTTTGCTTGTTTAAGCAATGGCTGGAAGGTCAACCAAATGCCACTATCCCTAGGCAAGAGACCACACAGGATTGAAGATGTGAGTCTGTGTCAAAGACACGTCTCCCTGGATTGCGTCCTCCGTGAAGCGGGTCTCACCCGCAGACTCATCCCACAAGCACCACATGTACAAGCACTGGAAAGGGAACTCCCTTCCTAAACCCCACATACCTGGCAGGCCCATTCCACCAACCGATCCTTTGGGTCCAGGAAGTCCCGGAGCACCTGGGGTCCCACTTATGCCCGGATCACCTTTAGGTCCTAGAATCATAAAGAGAAAAACCCAACAGGTCAACACCCATGAAAACTGCCAGGTAACCTCTCCCGACACGAGCCCCTGCCGAGCTGGCGACCTTGAACTCCCTTCCATACCTGGCTGCCCAGGGTGTCCTGCCTGACCGTCCTTTCCAGGCACTCCTGGGGTTCCAGGATCTCCCCGGGATCCTTTATCACCAGTTGGGCCGATTTGTCCTGCACGACACACACACAAAAATAGTGACGACCACGTCTGCTTAAAATAAGACAAACTGTAGAAACACAGGTCTGTGAAGAACTGAATAACTCGTTAGACACCTTCTCCCCCCTCCGAAGGTAAACTGTCCTCCGCGTTACCTTTTTCTCCTTGGTCTCCCTTCTGGCCTTTCATGCTGCCCATGTCCACTTTATCCATGGAGCCCGGCTTGCCAGGAAGACCCACATCTCCTTTATCACCCTTGAAGCCAGGGTCTCCCCTGGGTCCCGAGCTGCCCGGGAAGCCGTGGTCCCCTGTAGAAAGAAGAGGAGGCACCGAGTGACACGTGGCCAGGGGCCCCCAAGGCAGTGACGAGTGTGCTGTTCTTTCTGGCCAGTAGAAGTAACTGATAAACTACCTATAAAGAACTAATAGTCTGTCCAAAAGTGGCGTTAAACGGCGAGGGTCCGAGTTACCCAGAAGAATGCGACAGCAGGGAAATGAACAAAAAAGCCATCTTCTAGAATTCATTATTTGCTAATAATTCCAACATAGGAGACTTCACTTATTAAATAATTTATATTTTCTCTCCTTCTCAAATACCTTCACGACATCTGCTCAGTGGCCCCTCAATTCTATCCAAAAGAACAGAATTTTCCTGCTCAACTAAACAGATGACCGTTTTTATGTCTCACATCTAAAGTCAATTTCTTTTTTAAAAACAGTATCTGAACCAATTTCAAATATCAAGATAAGTAATAAAAAGTAAGACTTGTAAACTTCCCCTGTTTGCTAATTTGACTCCAAAGACTCAGTTGCTGTGACTGAATCTTCGAATGACTAAAAATACCACCATTTCTCAAAACAAAACAAAAAAACCGAAAACTCTACCATGCCAACAAGGAAACCCGGAAACCTGTCTTCTGACTTTTCGGCAGGGCACAGCCCTTCATCCCCAGGACCCCTGAGCGCCTCCTGGAAGAGGGGGTCTTCTGGACCCTAGCTTGATCTTCTTTCCCAGGCCTCTTGAAATGAACAATGACCTACGACTCTTGGAGAATTTCCCACAAGGCATCGGGACACCGACATGAGATGGGCTTTTCCGGAGTCACGGCTCCCTACCTTTTTCACCCGGCAATCCTGGCACACCCGCTGGTCCTGGCGAGCCGGGCTGCCCGGGGGTCCCCATGACGCCCATCTCTCCCTTGGGACCTGTGGCCGGATGGAAGGACTGTGAACGCTGATGGCGGATGCCGAGCGAGGGTCATGAACAAGACCAGGTGAGGCGTCTCCCCAGCATCCACTTGGGTGGAGTTCACAGGTCATTTACCTGGGAACCCGGGCTGTCCAGGTGTGCCCTGCTGTCCAGGGAGACCAGGCAGTCCCGACTGTCCCGTCAGGCCGGGGAGCCCCTGAGGCCCTTTGTCTCCTTTGGGGCCCGGCATGTCCAGGCCTGGGAATCCGGGGAAGCCCTTCTCTCCTTTCACTCCAGGGGGGCCTGAGGTGGGGAAGAGAAAGGGGGCGTCAGCAGGATCGACAGGGTGTCCTGCAGCATCCTGTACCCTGTTTAACTGTTACTTTCTGCAGAAGGTGTGTAGCCGTGCCCACGTCGGGGGTAGAGGGGAACAGCTTCCACCTTCCCAGATAGTGGTGTTTGGGGCCATCGGTGGGCAAATAACGTCCCAAGACAAAGCCCCGCCTACCTGCCGTGAGTGGTCAGCAATTCCCACCCGGGCCCCTCCGTAGTATTCAGACCTAAGCCCAGCTTCTCCACGGTGTCTCTCCCTGACTGTCCTGCCCTGGTCCACCCTCTCTGTCTCACTTCTAGAATGATTATTAAAGGCAAAGGTAGCTTCCAGACATGAACTCATTTTGTTTAAGTTACCTACAACTTACTAAACCTCTTATGGAAAGATAAGATAGAGATACCGATCCTTCTAAATTAAATGTAAAAGGTAAAGAACATACAATATAAAGGGGAGGTGTCTTTGGCACGTAAACCAAGCTCAGAGGGAGGTGAAGAAAGGCGCCTGTGACCTTACGTGTAAGCAAACAACCAAACCTACAGCCACAGAATAGAACTGACTTTTCCCCCTTTTAGTCACAGATTATGAGTTAGGGAAGGGAACATTCTGGAAGAACGTAGTATCACCTGATGACCCTGGGGGTCCCTGTCCTCCAGGGGGTCCCATAGCTCCAGGAGGGCCTATTCCGGGGACTCCAGAAGCTCCTTTGGGGCCTTGCAATCCAGGAGGTCCCGGGTCACCTGGATGGGGAAGAAATCGTGAATGTACCACATGGGGACACAGCGATGTCAGCACCTACCACCCACTCACACCGCTCGCCAGGAACCCGTCTAGAATTTTCATCATTCATTCAGCAAACGTTTACTGAGCCCCGATAGGTGCTCTGCGGACACACAATAAACAGACCCCGTCCCTACCACAAGCTGGATTTGCCCATAAGAAGTTACCTCTGATTCCCTGAAGGCCTGCAGGGCCGATGGCGCCGTGCTCTCCAGGAACGCCTGGTCCCCCGACATTTCCCTTCTCTCCAGGGGTGCCGGGGATGCCAGGGAGTCCTGGCAGACCTTTGAGTCCCGGCAGACCAACTCCAGGCTCGCCCTGGAAACCATGAAGCACGGAGAAGCCAGTGACCCTCAGAGCCCGCGATTTTATCAGGCCAAGGGCGTACGTGTTAACCGATGCTGCTGGTGCATTTATAAGAACGGTATTTGTCCCACCTTCCAGTTGGCGAAGCTTCTTCACACCTATTGTTGCCTTTCAATCTCACTACAAGCCGAAAGGGAGGTAATTTTTATTATTTTCTTTTCACAAAGGAGGAAAGCCAAGGCTCCCCCGTTTGGACGGCTTGTCCACAGTCAGAGAGGCAGGAGCTCCTTCCGCTGGGTCTCGGCCCCTCGACTCTGCTGCCCTGAGTCTACACAGTGGGAACAACACCCAGCGTGCTGTGTGGCCAGCGAATGGGTATTAAGAGGTGGAAAGTTCCAGGACTGGAACAGAACTCCATTTACTTCGTTTTTTTGATGAAACGAAAGCTCTCATGTCAAATTAAACGTTTAAAACCTTTTCATGAATCAAAGGGCTTTGACCCACACAGATGATTAAAAATAAAGGCAGTATCTTGAGAACCTGCAGGAAGGAGCACACCCCAATTTAAGCCCCGACGGGCCGTGGGAAGCAAAACGTGCACATCATGTCACAGCGGACCCCCCAGCATCTCTGAAGGCAACAACTTCCAGATGACGACCAGGTGGAGGTAAGCGGGCAGAGGTGTCTTATCCACACGGCCCTGCGGTGAAATTTGCAAACTGGAGGGAACTCAGTCCAAGGGATTTTGAAAAAGCTCAGTAATTTAAATCGTAAACCAAATCCTTAATTCCAGTTCCATTCGGCATCTACTAGCTCGTGAGCCAGTGTTTGAGGCGATCTACATACTGCGGTCACTGACTCACTTACACACCCAGTGCGGGTCATCAGGGGAAGGTGGGGGTGTGTCACATAAAGAAGGCGTCCTTGGGCTTCCCTGGTGGCGCAGTGGTTGAGGGTCCGCCTGCCGATGCAGGGGACACGGGTTCGTGCCCCGGTCCGGGAGGACCCCACATGCCGCGGAGCGGCTGGGCCCGTGAGCCATGGCCGCTGAGCCTGCGTGTCCGGAGCCTGTGCTCCGCAACGGGAGAGGCCACAACAGCGAGAGGCCCGCGTACCGCAAAAAAAAAAAAAGAAGGCGTCCGAAGGCCACATGCTCCACGTCAGCCACACGGGGCAGGGACACCACCTCGGGTCAGGCGTTCCTCAGAAGGAACCTTCCCCGGCATCACCGAGGCACAGCTGCCAGTGTGCACCCCCGCCCACCCCCAAGGCGAGGGCAGGGGCTCTGTGCCGGCAAAGGCGCATCTCCTGGCCGTGGCCTTTTCCCAGGCAGGGCAGACGCCTTCTGGCAACTTCAGTTCCTTTCCTTATGATCAGAACGTGAGAGGATCTAACCAACAGTCGCCTGTACTTGCTGAGTATCAGCAAGCAGCAGAGGGGTGTTCGAGGGCAAAGAGAAACCCGATGTCACACTAGTCCCGGGGTCCCCGACCAGGGCCCTTTGCCCCACGGTGACACTGGGTAACGGCGGTCACACTGGGCATGCATGTCGGGGTGCTCCTTTAGCATCTGTGGGTCGGGGCCACAGAGGCTGCGAAAGACCCCACGGTATTCAGGGCAGCCCCACCATGAGGAATTATTGGACCCGAATGTCAGTATCACTGAGGCTGCAGCCCACCCTGCTGGGGGCTGTTAGGTCACTCAGGACAGTGGCTTCCAAACGGCTTTCTCCTTCCACTCGTGATATGACACACACTGTACCTGAGATCCAGGACACACACAGGCAAGAGCCCACCCACAAAGCAGGAATAAGTGATTCTCCCCAAAATAGGCACGACCACGTGCTACCCCTTGTACTCTGGTACTTTCCATTTGATGCTATTTCATTCAAACACAAAACACGCTGACCCAACAAACCATATGAGATTAACAGCCCACAATTTATGGGTCCAATTAATCACAAGGATGGGGAAGCAGCAATCCAGAGAACGCTCAGTACCCACCTTTTGGCCAGGCGGACCTGGGTTGCCAGGTAAGCCATTGAAACCTTGGCGACCGGGATTTCCAGGAGGTCCAGTGTCTCCAGGTAAACCGTCAACACCTGTTTGGAAGAGTCAAAAAAAATCATTCATGTAAAAATACCGTTCCCTACTTTCTCCACTTCTTTTACACCTGCTCAGATGAACCTGAACAGATTTGAGGGCGCCAAAAAGGAAGATGAGACCATCCTGGTCCAGGGGGAGCCTGGGGGCAGGGTGCGCTCGCAGCGCTGGCCGCCCCTTCCTCTTTCTCCCTCACACCCACCCCCTCCCTTCCTTTTCTTCTAAGCACTTAGAACTTTTCTTTCCTATCCGCTCCCCACAAATGAAGCAAACCCAACCCAACCAAACCAGCATTTGCAGACTGGGAATGCCAATTTAAACTCTGCCAACTCCGAGTGTGGTCCGGAGCATCCCTGTCGCCTGGTTAGAAATCCAGCCTGGATATCCCCACGCAGACCCGCATCTTAACAAGACCCTTCGTGATTCCTGGACACGTTCGAGTTTGAGAAGCGCCACGTTAGACCGCCTGTTCTCCAACTGCACCACACTGGAGGCACGTGGGGACATTTAGAGACTGGGTCCCGCCTCTGATGGGCTTTCTGACAGCTGCCCACGTGGCTATAAACAGCAGCAAGTGTGAGAGCCGTTGGGCTAGGCTCTCTCTGTGTGATGGAAGGCTGGGGACACGCAGTGATCTGCAAGCTTGCAGAAACACGAACCTGAATCGCCCGTGGTGTAGGGCTGCTGTTTCGAGGGGCCTGACAGACAGTGCACATAACTCCAGGCAGCTTCGTGCGATGTGGGCAAAGGGTCTCTGATTAAGGAGGCCTTCCTCAGCTAAATTCTACCTGCCATGATGGCAGTGGTCTGGTTCTCCCATGGAACACGCAGGAGGCCTGAGCACTGCCCCTGTGATGCTGGAGGGTCACTGGGGGGCCTTCTGCCCCATGAGCCTGGCAGAAGTGGCCATGAGCGCGGCGGGCATCATGCGGCTCCCGGAGAAACAGGCCGCTGTCTCCCGTCCCCGAGCGTGAAGGCCTGCAACCTTGAGAGTGGGTGCGATGCAGAGCCCTAGACAAGAAGCCCGGAGGCTGGACAAGTCTTTAAACTAAGTTTTGGTGAAACGGTGGTCAAACTGGGGTCGGGATGTCGGCCCAAAGGGAAAAGACGTGCCCCTCACTGCTCACAGCCCTTCTGGGCTCTGGACCAAAGTCCCTAATGGCCAGTCTGCATATCAGTCTCCCTGAAGGACTAAGAAAGCAGCAAAACGGGTGAAGCTGTCCTCTTTACTTCCTTACAATTTTCAGAGAGAAGTACTGGTTCTGGAACGTCCATGCGTGTGAGGGCCTCTCCCCCAAGAGCAAGGCCCCCCCTCATATTCACCGCACCATCCCCCCGCCCTTCCCCCGCCTTCCAGACCAGCCTGGCCCAGGTCCCGGCGGGCTGTGTGCTCCCTTCACGGATGAGAGAGAGACCGCCCTGAGGGTAGGTTTAGGCAAACGTGGCATCTGCCAGATCCCTGGACAGCTTGGGGTCCTTGAGGTCCCAACCCCTTCCCACCAAACCACTCGGCCGGGAGCACACGTCACCCATCACCTCGGTGACCGGAATCACCAGCCTGCACACCGCACAGCTCTTTCGCTAACTCGCACATGGTGTGTTTACGTCCACCGCCTCTTTTCTCCTAGAATTCACGTGAGGATGAACGGAGAGACCACAGCCCTTGGTGCTAACCAGCCGGGGACGGGCGCCACCATCGGGGCCCACGCAGGCAGTGGCCTGAGCAAGCAGCCCCCCCAAAGCTGCCTTGTCCTGCGGGTTTACCTTTGGGGCCGGGAGGCCCTGGAAAGCCAATCCCAGGCTGGCCGACTGAACCCTTCTCTCCAGAGAGACCCGGCCTTCCCGGGGTTCCAGGAAAACCTCGGTCACCTGCGGTGAGAAAGACCAATGGTCAGCGTGCGAAAAACGTGAGCACATTTCCCCCACCCCAAGCCTCCAGGTGAACGAGACGCTGAGTACCTTGGGGCCCTTGGAACCCGGGGGACCCCGGAAGTCCTGTTGCTCCAGGGGGACCGGGTAAGGGCATGACCTTTCCTTCTTCACCCTTGGGACCTGAGGAAAAGAGCAAAGGACACAGCGTGAGGGCTGCCGCGTCACGTCCTTGCCTGCTCGCCTCCATCTCTTCCTTTTCCTTTTCTAGAATCTCTCACAGAGAGCGCCTCTTCTCCCAAAACGTCCAAAATGACCTAGACGTTTGTTTGACACAAGAATTCTTTAAGTGTCCGAAACAAGGGTCACGAAAAGCTAAAAACTCTACAGCAACAAACAGCGAGATGACCCTGGTATCAATTAATCTGCCTCAAAAAGTCAAAGTCTTTTCACCGTTCTCAGTGGCTCAGACGGGACTGGTTCTAAGTTGCTGTGATGCCCACATCTGGTGGGAAGTTATCTTCACGACGTGCCCCGTGGGTGATATCGTTACCCTAACAGCGAGCTGCATGGTTCTGCGGTATCTCCAGCCCAGAGAAGCCACCTTTTCTATCTCCAAACTGGGAGGTGCAGGCGCAGCCCCGGGTGCCCGTGCCTAGGAGATCCACTGGGTGTCAGGATTGAGCTGTTACGAAAGGACCTAAGGGCTCATCTCCACTGAACCTTCACGTACCTTAAAGAACTCAGGATCTGAAGGGCCTCCCAGGGACAGCCAACACTTGCTTTAGCTACAGACTGTGGGAAGCACCAGGGCCTGACCCCAACACATCTTTGCTATCAGCTCCAGCCCTGAGAACAAGGCTTTTATGACCATCAGACTAAACACAGCTCTGGCAGATCAAAGAAGTCGGGTTTCTAATCCCAAAGCTGCCGGGGTCTGGATGGCCAAGCAACCCTCCAGAATGTGGACAGCTGACCGACAGCACTGTCAGCATTGCCTCTTTCGGGAACCTTCTTCCCATGCTGTCAAGACGTATCTGTATACGTCCCACTGGCTTTTCTGATGGTAGTTTCTGGCCGAGAAAAAGAAACCTGATTCCTTTGTACACGCTGCAAGTGTTCAGATTCCGGAAGCATGAAGAACACTTGAGATGGTGATTTGGGAACGAGGAGTGTGGGGTTAGTGATCAGAGGTCCCTTTCCGAGACCCGGGGTGTTTCTAAGTCAAACCCAGCATTTTCCTGCCCCGAAAGGAGTCGTAAGAGAGACGTTCCCGGGTTCCTTGCTAATCAAAGAGCATTCATCAGTGGAGTCCTCACTTAGTGAATAACCAGCGACCACCCAACGATCACAAGAGCCCATCCAGTAAGGCACTGTACTTGGGCCTCCGTCAAGGGCTGCTGATGTGTTCTGTATTACGAAGCTGACAAGCCCTACACTGGGTCTTCATAAGGAAATAACTGTTCCCAGTGGGGACAGGAACTGACGGAACTTGGGCTGGATACATGGCTCGGGACAGAATCGGCCAATGTGTGAGAACAAGAAGGCCAGACTGTAATCTCTGCTGAGTCTCTCCTGTTGGAAACCTCGATCTTCCAGCTTCTTAGTTACTATGCTTCTCCAGGCTTACTGGCCACACACCTTTAATCACCCCAAGTCACCTTTCATTCATTTCTACAACTCTTAAGCCATCTTAGTCACAGCACACGTCCTTCTGTCCTCTGTGCCCAGGCCGTTCCTGGCCTCTTCTCCTCCAGGTTTCCTAGGCAATGATGTCAATGTTCCATTTCTTCCCGGAATCATCTTCAACTAATAAGTCACTGACAGTCTACTGTGTGCGGGCCTGGGGACCGACCCCCCCCCTTTCACTTCCGTCCCTGAAGATAAGCCCGTCGTGAGGACGCAGTGGAGCGCATCCGTGGGAAACCCTCACACAGCCCCCTCCCACGTTCTCCACCAAAGCCCGGGCGGTAGGCTCCAGGAGGGCGGGCGGCCTCTGAGTTGCTTCCTCTCTGTTCGCTTAGCTCAGCGCGTGGCACACAGAACCACGTGATAAAACAGTCAACAAACGGCTGGAACTACCCCGAAACTCAACAGCCAAGTCAAAGCAGCTGTGGATCAGTCAGTGTGTGCAATCAGCGGAGGGGTGAAGAGTAAGTATGTGGCTTGGGATACACAGAAGCCAAAAGGGACCGCTCATCGGGGAGAAACAGAAAACGGGCTCAGGCTGGTGTCACTTCCACACAGAAGGCTGACCTTCTCTGCTGCATATGGCGTACTTATTTATAAGGAAATCACCTAGACCTTCAAGTTCCTGTCATCTAGATCCTACACGTCACTGGCCCATCTCATAAAGGAAGGAACGAGATACAGAAACGCTAAGGAAAGGTTGCTCAGGTCACATCCCCCCCTCCTGGCAGAACTGAAACCAGACCCACGTCCCCATGTCACTGAGCCCAGGGCTCCTGGCACTTGCGTGCGGCACTGGAGGTCCTCAGGCCTCACCTGGCAGGCCTGGGGACCCGGGGTTTCCCGGAAAGCCCATCTGTCCTTTGTCACCAATGGGGCCAATAGGGCCAAACCCTGGAGGCCCAGGAGGGCCGACGTCACCACGGCTGCCGGGGAATCCAACTCCTCCCGGGGGGCCACGTTCTCCTTTTAATCCTACTGAACCCTGAAGCGAAAAGAGAAAAAGACAAGTTATCAGCAGACCTACCAGCATTCCGCTCCGCGTCGCATTTTTCCACCACCCGTGGTACAAAAGTGCCGAGTTTAACTACCTGTGCTACTTATTAACTTCAGCCCGTCTGCAGAGGTCACCTTGTAGTTAATAAATGAAAGCGGCATTCTCTCCTCTAAGCTGAGCAATCGCCCTCCCAACCCACACACAAGGAGACACTCCAAAGAGGAAGGCACTTATATCTGGAATCTTCTTTGAAAGGGTGACTTGAACGCCGCTAACTTTAAAATTCACCTCCCGGCCGACATATGGAGGTCTTTTCAGTTCCCCCAGATGCATCAGAAGACACTGGCCCCTTGTCACCTAATCGTGCAGGTCAGGGCTATCACACCTAGGTCTACAGACTAGTTTTTCCAGTGAACGAGAGACAAGTTCGTTTACGACAAGGACCCCCCCCGAGTGAAAACAGGCCGACGGGAGACCAATTACTCCTTCTTCCGTTCTTTGCACATCCGTCATCTGTCAAGCGCACGTTCAAAGTCTGGGAATCAACATACCGGGGAGCCTTTGGGGCCGGGCAGACCCGGATGGCCGTCTCTTCCGGGAGAGCCTGCTCTCCCTGGCATCCCGGGCTGGCCTGGGAAACCTGGGTCTCCTTTGTCGCCCTTGAGTCGAATATCGAAGTAAATCTCGCCAGGCTCGCCCTTGGCTCCTGGCTGGCCCATCAGCCCTGGCACACCTTGCGGTCCCTGCGAGAACAAAGCCTTGTGAGGCCACCACCGAAGACGCCCATCCATAGAGCAAACCAGCAGCAGGGAAATCAGGACGCCACCTTGAAAAGCGGGGACGGGTTTAGAGCTCCCTGTTCCCTGTGTAGGAGCAAAAAAAAAAGCCAGCAGCTCTGTGACAGAGCCCTGAGCTGACCTCACTGGTGTGCTGCCCTTAAAAAGCCTCTAGTGATGGAGACGGGGACAGGGCGGGGGAGTGACGGAGGAGCTCCGGGCCCAGCCCGGAGATCAGTCCTCAGGTAACTTCCTTGTCTCTTACAACTGCTGACATCCCCAAGAACAGGTCGGCTACGGTTGGAAGGGGCTGGATGTGCGATTCCCTGGGCCCAGGAGCCGGAGATGGAGGCTGAGAGCAGCCACGTTCCCTAAGTCTGGTCAGTGCTGAAATCACACAGCTTGCCTTTCATGCTCACAGCCCTAATTCCGGAAGAGATGAGGAGGCCCAGAGCACCCGCAAAGAGGAAAGTCGGGGAAGGGAGCCTCAGGCCAGCTCTGTAACTGGGATGTTGAGCCGTCAGCAGAATAGAATTAACTTTCCCAAGAGACACACGGGAACACTTCTCTGTTCCTGGAAAGGGGAATCTTCAAGGAATGCCCACCCCCTAGATGGCTCCCCCTCCAAGTCCCCTTGAGAGTGGGATTCACCAGGAAGAGGCCCAAGGCTTTAAACAACTGTCTCAGTTACCTGTTCTCTGAGAGAGGGATCTCTTCAACCTCCCCGCTCACCTGGCAGAATTTAAACCCTTGCGGAGTTCATGTGGTTTGAATTCCTTTTTGTAAACTCTCTTTGAAACGGTTCTTGGATGTAGGTGAACCACAGTGCGTGCGCACACACACACACACACACACACACACACACACACACACACACACCTCTCTGTGTACCTATAATATGTATGCCTCAAACTACTGGACACAGTCGGTCGGAGCTGGCCCTGAGCTGGAAGTGCCCCTTGTGACAGAGGACCCTTCACTCAGAGCTACTCGGGGAAGGAAGGGGGAAGATACTCAATCTGTCGTATTTACTCTAGTTCCACTATCTCCACCAGCCACCCGCCAGGAAGTCTAGCAGAGGACATGGAAAATTCATTATCTGGTTGAAAGCTGCTGTGGTATTGTAGCTTTTTCTCTCTAGTTAACATTAGCTCCCGTGCCTCCCTAAGGCCCAGCGAATCTTGGAAGCCCTTCCGCATAGGCCCAGGTGGGCTTCTCCCGTGTTTCCTCGGTGTACTGTATGGTCCTCGTTGCTCTATTAGGGACATTTCCTTGCCTTCTGTCTCTCCACTAGCCTTTCAGGGCTGTGAGGGCAGGACCAAGGCTTCCTGTCTTTGTGCCCTTAATGTCTACGAGAGGGAGGTACCGGAGGACGTGTATGTCGAACCAGCAATGTTCACCAATAAAAAGTAAATGCCAAGGTAAGAAATGACAACCAGTGCACATTCTTCTCAAACCAGAAGCACCCCTTATGTTATTTTATGTGGATTCTTCACCACTTAGAAGTATAGTATTTTCTGATACTATGAACACAGGGTGAGAAAAATACAAGTTTTTATTTTCATACTGATGACTGTGTCAGTCATCGTTTTATTTAAGGGAGAAATCTAGGATTTCTTTGAAAATTGACATTTACAACCCTAGGACATCTCATGTGGATTCTTTGCTGATCCTAAGTGATCCAAGGGTCTTTTGATGTACATGCCCTAGGATAAATGTCAGAGAGTCAGACGCTGCCTTGGAAGTTTACCACTGGCTACATAAATTGGAGAAGATCTGACAACTCGGGCAGTCTGCTTCTAGAAAGTGGTGTCACCATGGGAAAAGTTGGGAGAAGTTCGTTTCCATTAACACAGGTCACTCCCAGTGACCCCAGACCTGCCTGGGGGCTGGGCTTCGTCATCTCAGCCTGGAACCCGCCTCTTGTGGTCTGTCCTCTTTTCCCCAAATCGAACCCTCAGCTTTCAGAGGACGTGTCCCAGAAACGCTACCTAAATCAAATGCAGAATCAGAGCTTTCTTCATTGGCATCTACTTTCCAGTTTGCTCCGCTGGTTTGTGGAGCCTCCTTTAGCCTCCAGCCAAATTCGAAATAAGGGTACCACATTTCTGAGCTAGTTAAACCATGGAGCTATGATATAGCATCTAATAAAAGGAAAATCATTATCTTCTCTTAGGTTATTTACCTACAGAACAATTTTTAGAAGTGTTCTCCCTCTACACCAAGAAAGATGCTCCCTGGATGGACAAGGCATGGGGATTTGCATTTTTTGTTGTACATTTTGTTTTTTTCTTTATCATGACTTCTCCTCAACCATCCTCCTTCCTCTTTTCTCATTTATATTGGATTTGGGGCTGGGGAGGGGGGCGGGTGTCTGGACTGGGTTCCAGGCAGAGTTGAGGCAGGAAGTATTCCAGGAAGGCTGAGTAGATAAAGACCGTGCCCAGACTATGTCTGTTGCCTTCAAAGTTGTTCCCACTTTGATCCCCACCACAGTCAGAGTTCCCAGCTTTGTGAACTTCCAACTTATTTAGAAATATGTTAAACAATTGCGACTTCTAACTTAGCTCCCCAGGCACCGGGGAAGCTCTGGAAAGCAGAAGCCCATGACTTAACTTCAAAAGGAGAAAACTATTGCTGGATTCCAGCTGTTTCATTCCTATTTCAACTCACTTTTGCCCTGACCTGCTTTTACAGAACCTTCCAGAAATATCTTCTTAAATTACAAATGTTAAAGACCTACAAACAAAAAAGAATAATGCTACAGATTTGACTTTCCATTTACGACAAAAGAAAAGGAAAAGAGGAATGAAAGAAATTGTAGAAACCGGTTAATGCTTAACAGAACTGAGAAGCACAAAGAAAATAGGAGAACAAAGCCCAAAGGCTTAAACGCTTTAGAAATAGAGCTGATAACGTGCACAAAAAATAACGTCCTTCAATATTTAAGATTATTACTATAATCTGCTATTCAATGGCTTCTTTTCAAACAACGTAGAAACGCTAAGGAAATGGCGTTCTGTCTAACAGAAAGGTTTCATGTCCTTGTGATCGAGATATTTCACTTAGAGATTTGAAAAAGTGTCTTTGCCATAGATGTTGGTGATAGGAGCTTTCAAATTCTGTACCTGTAAGAAGAAGAAGAAGAAAGGAATAGTTCAAGTTCGTAGAGGAAAATCGGCCAGTTCTGCTTCACTGCCATAGACACCGTCAGCGCTGAACTTAGTCACTGACGAGCTTTAGATTATCTGGTGTGAGAATGGATGATTGTGTAAAAAGACAACTCAACAGTGTGGCTGCTAGAGGTGACTCTTGGTGGCACCAGGGACCCTGCGGGAAAGTGACCACCAGCACTCGGTCGTGCTGAAAACAGGTTAAGTGGCGACTGGATTCTGACCAGGTGAGAAGAAAGGCAAGTTGGGGTGCAGGTTCTGGATACGATGGTCGTACTCATCCTCAAGTCAGTCAGTCAGGAGAGACGGCGGGGAGTGATTCTAACTGCTCGACAAAGTGATCCTTCCCCAGCTCCCAAATAAAGCAGGAGTCCACGTGCAAATGCAGAGATAACATGCCTTTGCTGGTTTGCTCGGTGGCAACTTCGAATATGTCTAGGAGCTCAGACAGGTTTACTTACAGGCAATCCTTCAAGACCATCCCTGCCGGGTAAACCTCTGTCGCCCTTGGCCCCTGGCTGTCCTGGGAAACCTTTCGCAAGAGACAGAGGCAAGATTCAGCACACTGTTGATGAGACACCTTCTAAGAGCTCAAAACATTGTTACCTTTTCAAGATTCAAAAGTGCAAAGATCTTTATACTAAGTGGATGACGTTTGAAGCAGCTCGAGACAGTAATAACAAAAATGCCCAGGACGGGCTCAGAAGGGGGACGAGTGACCCCCAAATGCACACAAGTAACACTGACGCAGAATGGCTACAAACCCCTGCCCGCAAGCCCAGGGGCAACTTAAACCAAAGCAGGCAGGTAACCCCCTCTGAGATAAGGAAATTTGCAGAGCTGTGTGAGCCATATGCTGCTATCCTTTGACGAGGAAATCTTTCCGACACTGAATTTGTAAGTCATCTTGATAATTTTCAACAAAATGGACAAATCCTAGAAGTGTGGCTTCACATTCTCATCTCGTGTTTTAGTGCTGATGGAGAAAATCAGGTCAGGGAGTAAGATATGCTTCACTGTGAAGGTTCCAACCCATCGAAGCAAATTCTGACCTGGTCTCTTTCACAATTGGGGCCTTACCTATTTCTCCGGGGGGTCCCTGTGGCCCTGGGGGCCCACGAAGTCCTGTTGAGTCACAGATGAGACAACTATCTCCTTTTTGACCTAAAAAAGGAGACACGGGGTATTATATAGAACAGGTGAGCAGAATCCCCTGGAGCATAGTGACAGCACAGGAAAGGGAAGAGAAGGCCACCATTTACCTAACACCCGCTCCAGACGCGTCCATCTGCCAGTGGCCGCGTATCCCTGACATGGGGCCCACCCTCCGCCCTCAGCATACATCACAGGTAACCACGGGTGCCCTTCTAAGGAATCCCATCCTTCCGCCCTGCCAAGGCACAGGCCCTGCCTCACTAAAAAGTGATCCAGAACTCCATTTGCCCATCAGCCTGAGATGACTCGACTCTATCATTCTGTCTCTAATTCTAAAACTTCCCATCATCTTTCTCTTTGCTTTTGTATTTTTTAGCCACCTGCACATATAACTCCTGGACTTTAAACCTATGTTCCAGGCTGACAAATGACAGATGGGAGTAAGAAGGTACGAAGTCCAGGGCAAAGACCTGACCTGACATGGAGGACCCAAGAGGAGAGGGACCCCAGCACATGAAAATGGGAGGAAATGCCTTTCTTTGGAAACTCTAACCTCTTACATCTTGATTTTCAAACTAAGCTAAAAGGCCTTCGAGTGTCTTAGATGTGCATGTGTCCTGAACCTTGAATGTCAGGTTTCTAGGCACAGGTAAGGCAAACAGAGAGCAGAGCACACGTGGAGGAGCTGTCACTCAGGGGTCACAGAGGCTGGGTTGTGTGCCCCTCGTCCCCTCACCCTGACCGGCACCCCAGCCCCAGGCACACCCCACACCAGGCCCCAGTGTCGGGAACAAGGGCAGGACAGGAGCGCATCGGTGGGAGGGAAGCACTGTTAGTTGCCTAGTAACCCAGCCAAGCTGCAGGTGCTATGGGATCCACGGGTGTCTGCTCCTGAGGCTGGAAGTGGATGGCGGGGAGACCTCACACTGCAGTCTGGGCAGGGTGACGGCTCCACTGCAGGAGCGTGATGGCACAGGAAGAAAGAGGCTCCTCTTAGGAGCCGGGGGATGGATGAACACACCTCTCAGTACAAAGAACCTTCTGACCACTGGCTCCATCACAAAATGGAACAGCCTACCTCAGAAAGTGCTAAGCAACTGGTAACTAGGGAGATTCATGAAAAACAAGTGACACGCCAACGGGTGACACAATCCTCCCCGCTTGAATTCTAAGATCACTTTTTCATCTAAGGTTCTGCAACTTACATGGCTGTCAAAATTCTAAGACATTTTCCATGCATTTGAGCTTCAGACTTTGGAAGAGCAAAAATTCTTTGCGATCCAAAGCCAGAAATGGGACCCACAGGGATCAGTTTTGGGGGGCCGCCCTCTCTTTGTTCTACTCCCTGGGTATTAAGAGACCTATACTGAATAAATATTGGAACATCCTTTGTTTACTCCACTCTAAGACGGGACTGTTTGTGCAGTGATAATCCATCGTTCCCAAGATAGTGAAGGATCAGGATGCGTCCCGCGCTGGCATTACAGACGACACTTGAAAAGTTTAAGATAAAACTCAGAGCCAAGGGTGGAGGTGGTGGATTCGTCAGCGCAGATCTGCTCGCACTGATTACGGAAACTGGGATTGAGGGGTGGTGAGCGTTCTGTATACACACTTGTGATCCGGCTTCAAGGAAAGACGTGCATTCTTGGAGAATGCAATCTCTGACTTTGAACCAAAGGATCGCAGGAAGGGATCAATCTGAGAATTGAATCTGCTGACCCCACAGAGGGTAAAGAACGGGCTCTGACTCGAGGGCCCGTCTCCCCGTTGTCTCCCAGGTGACAGGGAGACGCCCAATAATCTCAGCAGAGCTGTCGGGAGACACATCTGAGGCATGGATTTTGAGGGGAGCTTCAAATAATGGAAGAAAATACCCATGTCCACTCAAAGCCAGGAAGTATGTAGAAATGTATCACACACCCAAACAGAATCAGCATTTTTTAAAAAATTAAATCTCTTACCTTTTTCTCCAACTTCGCCTGTCAATCCCGGCTGCCCCGCACTTCCGGGAGGACCCTGGTCACCTGGCGGCCCGGGCTGGCATTCCACAATTCCATCTGCAATGGATGTTTAACAATTAGAGGGTCACTCTCAGCCAACTGAAGCTATAGGTGTTTTCACCCTCTCTTGATTCAATCCATTACAAAACCAAACTTTATTTAGGTTATTTGGCAAGTATTAGAAATCCAGCTGTGGCCGGCTTTGAAACAATCCTAGTACGTTAAATTGTAAAACGTGACAAGTGCACGTAGCATCCATCCGTGCCCCGTCGCAAGCCGTCAATGCTAAAATTTCTATTTTACAATTCTAACGTTTATTTCAGCTCATCAGCCCTGTCCTGAAACTGATTTCATGTTATCTTGCAAGGTACACACCATCACCCTTACGTCACAGATTAAGAAACTGAGGCTCAAAGACTTAAATGATTTGTCCAGAGGTAGGAACCTCTGTGAAGTGAACACAGAGACTTCAGCAACTTTATGCCTTTTCTTCCTCCTGAGCAAACTTACAGCGAAGAACCTTTTATTTTAGAGACACAGGCTGCCCGTGGGAAAACACCTCTAATTGTTTGTTCCTATTCAATTCTGAGCATCACTGATGTGCAGAAGCATGAAAATGAACTGCAGTGACGCAAACACCATCGTTGTGGGTTCTAGTAAAAAAAAAAAAAGTATTGTTTTCGAATATACACAGTGATAAGAGTTTATATTTCCTCCTCCAATATGTTTGAAGGAAAATGGCAGAGTGCGTGCCATTGAACGTGAGGCTCTGCAGGCACCGGTCACAACCGTAGCCTGGACATTCATGGCGGCAGCTCCTGCAGCCCCCAGCTCACACATCAGCTCCACAAGGAAGGACAGAGGGTGAGAAGAATCCCCAGCCTTTTGGGCTTTTCACAAGGGATGCTGCGGCAATGGTGGGTGTGCTCTCCCCAAACACAAAGGCCTAAAAAAGAGCCCAAACTTCTCCGTCTGGTGACTTTGTTTAGAGCTCAGAGGAAAAAGTTTCAAGTGTGTAAGAAATGAAGTCCAGGGGATTTTTATTTGCTTGTTGATGATGTCTTCCTGGGAGCTTCTCTGAATAAAGCACAGGTGAGGAGGAACCCTGGGGTGGCCGTATCTCTGCCCTGGGTCCTCTGGCTCCGGCTGGCTCCTTGGTGACCCCATCGGTCTTGAGCAGAGTGGAGTCGTTTTTATGCTTCAAAAAGCTTCTCTAAATTCCTTGCCTGGGAAGAACTCATTCCCAGCCCTGCAAGCCGAGGTGGTTGGACTCCCCGATTCTGAAAACACAGGTGCGTGAACACTGACAGGTGTAAAATTATTACTCTCCCAGAACACACCTCCTGCCAGCCTCCTCTCCATCAGAATCCCTACACACCCCTGGTAGGAAGGCAAGTTACCATCCTCATCAAAATGCATTTTAAATAATTTTAAGTCTAAAGCAAGAATACAGGGATGTGTCTGAGGAGTTCTGAAGGGCAAGTTCAGGTTCGACGTTTACACGGTCTGCTCAGGGAGGCTCGGCCGTCGAGGGCGGGGAGAGCTGCAGCCACACGGGACCAGAGCCCAGGAGCGGATAGGGCTGTAGGCGGCTCCACGCTCCCTGGGTAATGAGCAATCGAAGGGTCCCAAGGTGGCGACTCATTAAGATGCAGCCTCTTTAACGTGCACTGTAAATGTGTGTAAAAATCTCATCGATAAATGATCACTCAGCACGCTGTGATTGTGAACCACCTAATTGGCACAGACTGGAAAGGGCAACCCGGAAACCTGAAACAACGTATTCAGCCGACACATCCTACACATCCTACACAATTCACAGCAGGGAGAAGTTCAAGCCTTTCAGAACTGGCAAACTGCGAATACGAAAAAAAGGTTCTAGATCTCGCCAGGGTTGGCTCTCTCGCCAGGGTCTTTGCCGATCACTCTTATTAAAGCTAGAACCCACGCACGGTCCAGAGCTCTGTCCTCCCTTCCCGGCTTCCTTTCCTCCTGTATTTGTCACCTCCTGCTACCACATAATCTACTGATACTTGTTTACTTGATTTCTGTCTCGGAATGCATGCCCCAGGAGGACAGAGTTGTTTTGTGGGCTTTGTCACAGGTCTTGGGGCAGCGCCTGGCGTATCGTAGGCACGCCAATGTTTGTCGAATGAGTAAGTGACCAAGGAATGAACAACAGGTCTGAGGAAATTCACGCTGATCTGTTCTCAGTGAAGATTCACATCTGGAATCACTTGTTCCATCCAGTCCATATCTGGCCTCCCTACGTAGCTTCATCCGTGAGAAGTCCTTTCATGGAGATGGGTCTGCATTCCAGCAAATAAGCCACCCGGCACCTACAGCATGGAGACCCCCTTCCCATAACCCACACAGGACCCGTGCCTCAGATTCTCGGCTGAGCACACGCTGGAGGTCTGAACTTACGCCCACTGGAACGATTAGTTTAAATCCCCTCAAAGTTTCTTTTATTTTGCATTGCGATTACCTTGGAGTCACAGAGCCCCCTTCACTGAATCAAGAGGTTCCTGTTCTGTGCTCAGCTTTGATAGTGGGCAGACGAGAAAAATCCAGGTAAACTACCATTCAGATTTGAAGTCACTTACAGACAAAGCAGCCCCTTCTCCGTGTGTGCGTGTGTGTGTGTGTGTGTGTGTGTGTGTCTTAGTACCAGCTTGTGTCTCTAGATGAACAGAATGTGTTCCTTTCCCAGTAAGAACCCTACAACTCAACCAGTTGAGTTGTAGGGTTCTTACTGGGAAAGGAACTAACTTTAGATGCTGGTTAGGTTGGCCCCTATTCCTCTAAACCAGTTGCATTAGTTCACTCTTCCTTTCTGCAGTGACTAACTTTGCAAAGACAACTAAGTGAGATACGAACAATTCATAAGTTGCTGGACACCCAGCCTCTGGCACTACACCTTCCCCAGCCCAGCTTAGCCCTGCCCCCCATCTGTCCTGGACAGGACACCACGCGAAATGGACCCAGAGGGTACTCACTTGTGTGGCCTGGCTGCCCAGGGGGGCCGGGGGGCCCAGGGGGGCCCGGTAGCCCATCCCTTCCACCTGGTCCGGGCAAGGACACGCCTGGCAAGCCCTGGTCGCCTTTCTCTCCTCTTTCACCGGGGAAGCCGGGGGGACCGCTCAGCCCTGGTATCGGGAAGCCTGAAACCAGAACAGAACTCATGGATACAGCACAACACCAAGTGTCATGCCGACAGCACACACTGGTTATGGTCAACTCTGTTCACGGGAAAATGACCATGGCTGAAAGGGGAACTGCTTTGGACAAGTGAGAAACTGCATTTGCTTCTCACCACGTAAATGCTGTTGGGCAAAGGCTCCCTACAAAGTAACTGCAAGGAAAAGGGGCTCATTGTGTAGACATTAACCTCCGTGGATCTCCTTCAGTGCAAATAGTGTCCCCAGCAGGTTAGAGAGAGTACTTTCCATTTCTGCTTAGAGAATAAAGAAAGGCGTAAGAAATGTCCTTAAACGAAGCAGACGTGGACAGGAGGCAAAGTGGGTGGGAAGCGTGTTGGAATCAGCTAAGAAGCAGAGTCAGGACAAGGGAGACAGCCCTGGGGAAGAGCGCAAAGTCAAGGGGGAGACCAGAGCTGCACACCGGAAGTCGAGTTAAGCCGCTGTGAGTTTGGAGGGGACAAGATCATAGGGCCCTGTGACAGCCGAGAAGGGTTCTGACCTAGTGCTTGAAACACAGCGGTCCAGTAGGCTGCAGGTGAAGTGACTCTGTGCTCCGGAGAGCAGAGAGCTGGCCTCTGGTCCCAGCATCCGGCCGACAGGTGCAGGGGCGTGAAAACACACGGGTGAGGTGACATGGGAAGAGTCAGGGCAGAAGGAGCCCCGAGGAAGGACGGACAGACCCCCAAACCCCAAAGGTGGACTTGAGTCCCAGGTGAGAGGCTGTTAAGTCGCTGAACCCGCAAGCACCGCACGTAAAAGAACTGGAGGCCATCCGCGTGGGCTCCAGCCCCATCCCTACCCCAGAAATGGTGTGGGAGAAGCAAAGGAAGGATGAAGGATGACCCTCAGAGAGGCAGGGAGGCGGGACCTGAGGCCGAGGGCCTCCGCAGTCAGCAGGGGGTGGGAGCTGGACTGGGGGCATACAAGGCCAGAGCAACTTCAAAGACAGCTTCTAAAAACGGCTTAGGACACTAACGGGGTCCGATAGGAGGTTTTAGAAAGTAGAGCTGCAAATGTTGCCGCGAGACGTGAGGTAACATGTTCACGAGAACAGCTGGAAGGTCCGGCAAGCTTTACAACCAAGGAGAGGAAAGTGATGGAAAAGAGGGAAAAGGGAGCATTTTAAGGGCAGATGCCAAAATTTTAGCAGAAAGGAGGCACGCAGGGCAGCGAAGGCGGCCTTGAGCCACCGCTGCTGCGAATCTTAGACAGTGGGGCTGGGTCGTCCGGGTGTTGTCTGTTCCAGCAAAAACAAAGGAAGGGTCTCTGGGGGGACTTAAAACTGAAGAACTGTCAGGAAGGGAAAAAAGAAACTGACAAAAAAGAATAAGAAATAAAAATTAAAAATAAAACCAGACAAAAGCAAAACCTTCAGTAAGAACTGTGAACACTTCGTGTGGTGTTGATTCCAGCGCACCCGAGGGTTTCAGGCCGAGCACTTGTTACCTCTGCTCTAGGACCTGGGATTACACGCCTGCAGTGCACACAGACAGGCATCTGTACATACAGAGAAGTGCAACTCCCAGCCTCCGATTACACAATCCGTTAGAAATGCAAAACTAGCACAAAACAGCTGCAGACTTAGTATAAGCTCAGTGACGCAGGAGTCCTCCGAGAAGCAAGATTAGAGGTGATTAGATTAGTCAGAAGAGGCTTCAGCCTTGAGTCTGGTCTCAAGCCGAAAAACAAAGGCAGTTCCACACAGGGCAAGGGAGAGCAACGATGCTGGGGTGCGGGTGGAGGTCTTCCGAAAGGCCGACGGTGCCCCTGGGAGCAGCCGGAAGGAGGTGAACAGCAGGGGGTTAGATCAGAGGCAGGGAGACAGGGTAACTTGATGAGAGACGTAAGAAGTCCCACCTGTGAAATACATGTTTATAACTACATGTTAACCTGTCATTTACAAAATAAACACTGTCCTAGGAGCACAGGTTGTTTTCAGATCTAGAAAAATGTGTAACAAAACTGCTAGCCACTGTATGCAAGTATCTAACTAATGCAGGGGATGAACATGTTCAGAATAGAAACCGTGTAAAAGGTGTACAAATACCCTAAAAATATAATTTAAGAATGCTCACCTGGAGAGCCTGGCGGGCCTTGTATTCCTGGGAAACCTAAAAGGAGGAAGAGAGAGTGGGACAAACTGAGCCTGTTTCACTTGTGGTTTATGTTGTGAACTTCTGTGCTCGTGGGTACCCACAGTCCCGGGACAGGGAGCTCTGAACTTGGGGAGATGCCGCGCCCCTGACACTGCAGAGATGCACGGAGATGGCTCCTGGAAACCCAGTGAGACTGCAAAAGATGAACTTGAATAGCACTCGGTCACCACATGGTCCTGCACGGCGCTCAGGTGTTATCAAAACGTGCATGAGTGCAGGACAAAAATGGAAAAAAGAAAGGACGAGAGAAAAGAAGGGAGGAGGGAGAAGGAGGGAAAGAAAGAGGGAAGGATCTTACCTTTGGGGCCTGGCTCCCCTTTCAACCCTGGAACCCCTGGGTACCCCCGCTCTCCTTTCTCTCCCAAGGGTCCTGTGCCGATCACCTGAATTACAGAAGAAAAGATCATTGCAGGGCATGGCAGGGGACTGTGCTGTATATTACAGCTCAGATGAAGAAACAAACACATTTTTTATTATTTCAAGACACATGAAAGTAAAGAAGGAATAGTGGTGGAAGAGGAAGGGGAGAGGAGAGGGAGGGGAAGAGAGTGGGGAAGGGGAGAGTATTGAAAACATAAAATGGATATTCGGTATTGCCCTCCTTGCAGAGAACTTTGCCAGGCAGCTCTGCTTCCTTTTGTAACCATCTGCTTGGCAGGAGCTTTACCAATGAAGCCAAGTTAGAAACATATTAATTCTGAGGTGTGGGGTATGGAATTTCTCAAAGTCCATGCAAGCTGTAAGAAGAACAGTCTTCTTTAAAGAGTATTATCTGAAAAACTGCCTTGAATTTCCTCAGGCAACATGTAACAGGAACACTCACATTTTTTTTTATTGGAAGAGGTTTTATGCTTCACTTTTTTCAATGGTCAAAAGTGGGGACTTCTTTAAGGTCCTCGTGATATGGGGCAAGAAGCAGGCACCGGGGCCCTCACTAAAAAGGGGTGAATTCTGAGTAGCTGAAATTCGAAGACAAGGACCATGCCGAGTATCGCCTATTACCTCTAAGATGCAATTCCTCTGCAGCGGTTAAATGATGGGTATTATTAAGCTCTGCTGATGAGGTTAAGGTAAAAGGTTATTCAAAGGCAGTTGCTGGATTAGAAATATGGGAAATGGAATCATCTATCGCATGACGTGTTAAACGCATGAGGAGGTCCCATAATACTTTGATCTGGTAATCCTATTTCTGGAAATGCAGCCTAAGGAAGGATTACTCAAATCCCTCACCTAACACACACAGACACACACAGGCACGTACAAACATTCACTACCACGTTGTACCCATGCAAGAGGGCAGCAAACAAGAGAACGGTCATGTTTCACTGTTTCCAAAAAGAATTGGGGCAAAATGGTTACAATTATCGCACAACGCTCTGAAAATGACCGTTTGAAGATAACTTGAAAACGTGAAGGATGTTCATTTTTAAAAAGAAAAAATGTTACGTACATTGGATTGCAAGTATATAAAAATATGTATACGGACAAGGAGTCAAAAGTTATTTGCAAAAAATAAAAGTTGTTTTGCTAAGACAGTCAGATCATGGATGATCTGTTTCTCTGAGTAGCATTTTCCTTAACAGACCATTATTTTTTTAAGTTTCAAAATGTGTTGCTAATATTCTCATCCATGTGCAACTCTTTTAATTTTAGTGGTCAAAGATATGCAGAAATTGTCCAAATACAATAACAAGTAAATACCAAATGTCACACGATACAAAATATAAATGATTGGTTCAAATTCTGTGTACCCCCTCCATCAAAACGTAATTCTAGGAACACTGTGGAGCATGTGGCCTAGGTGACAGGCCAGCCCGTCTCTCTCTTTCCCTCTTTTCAAACGATCTCACAGACAGCAAATGTCACTGTTACTCACAATTCCAGGTGGGCCAGGAGGGCCGGCTTCACCTTTGTCTCCCTATAAAAGAAAAATAACTTTACTTGTATTTTTTAGTTATAAAGGTTGCCTGGCCAGCAGCAGGGTTGAACTTTTTTTTTCCTAGAAAAATAGATTGTGCCCACTGTACACTAACAGGATTGTCCTCTCCTTAGAATCTCTCACTGTGATTAGTCTAAAGTGCTCTGCAACTATTACAACCAAAATCCATACATCTCCCCTTGCTTTGCATAAGTGTGACATCCGAAAATTGAGATTTCTACAACACATAAATGGAAGGCTAATTATCCACATTACGAAAGAGCTCATGCTTCTCAGAGAACCTCAACAGAATCATTTGCAAGTTGAATTCGTATATGGTGGGTTTTCTTCTTTTTGTTTTCTTTTATTTTTGGCCACACTTTGCGGCATACGGGGTCTTAGTTCCCCAGCCAGGGATCAAACCCATGCCCCCTGCAGTGGAAGCGTGGAGTCTTAACCACTGGACTGCCCGGGAAATCCCGTACAGTGTTTTTCAATACAATTAAAAAAATAAATGAAATAAAATGACATGAAAGCTTAGGGTGGCTAAAAGTGTTTTCTTAAAGAAATCATTTTATTTGAGGATTTTGGTGTAAGACTGTCTAACTCTGCATTGGAAGTCATGATAAAAGGATACTTATGGTTTTTTCTTTCCCCTTAAAATCCAGCATGACTTGAAAACATTGGATGGATAAATTCTCATCACTTTGAGGCTTAACTTAACCCCTATTAGATGAAAAACTCAAAGAAATCAATCCTTTTGTATCTAATGTTCTTATATAAGTATCATAACAACACTTTTAAACACTTTTTTTTTTTTTTTTTTTTTGCGGTACGCGGGCCTCTCACTGTTGTGGCCTCTCCCGTTGCAGAGCACAGGCTCCGGACACGCAGGCTCAGCGGCCATGGCTCACGGGCCCAGCCGCTCCGCGGCATGTGGGATCCTCGCGGACCGGGGCACGAACCTGTGTCCCCTGCATCATCAGGCAGACTCCCAACCACTGTGCCACCAGGGAAGCCCCCATAACGACACTTTTAAATGTCCTGATACATGCACATTATTTCACAAATGCACATTTTTCCCCTTTTTTTCCTTTTTTTTTTTCCTTTTAAGCTAAGGCTTTAAAGTCAGGTGTTAAACCAGAATTAGATGTTTTGATTTTTCTAATTTGAATAAAAGAAGAGATTTTAGAAATATCTATGGGAGCTTAAAAAAATCTTAGCTAATATATTCTAAACATATTTACCTTTTCCAATCTACAAGAATTGACTTTCTCATAAAGTTACGTCTTAGAAAAGGATTTCTCCCTTTGTCACTGGCGTTGATAAACGAACCCTGAGGTCCTCTCCCTACTGTTAAAGATAAATGTTTCAAATCCATTTCTCATTTTAGTAGAAATTTACATTACCTAGTCTCATGATTAAAAGAGAAAAATAAACCAACAATGAGTTTTCTCTGAGTATCTGACTGGCAAATATTTTTTAAAGTTTCATAAAAAATAGTTTTCAAATGAAAGGGTCCCAGGGTGATGGAAGTGCAATTCTGGGGGCAATTTTATTGCATATGACAAAACCTTCCTCAAATTAACCCCAAAATTATACTTTTTAGGAATTTATGATGGGAGATGATCAGACAAGTGGATAAAGATACTTATAATGAGAAAAATGTGTTAACGATCTACATAACATGCAATAAAAGGTATGGATATCATAAGTGTTGATGTATAACCACATTTATGGATGCTGAAATATATCCTCATTATGTCATTGAGGGAAAAAGCAAGATATATCATGCAATACCACTTTTTAAAAATCTCATGTATGTGTGTGTACATGGGACAATTATTAACTCTGACCATTTCTGAGTGGGTAATAGAAAAATTACACAGGCTTTCTTTTCTCCTCTACATGTTTCTGCATGTTCTTTGTTTCATAATCAGGCAAAATTTATCTACTACAAAAAACACATAAAAACTTAAATGCGTGAAACATTTTATATTTTTTTCTTTAAAAATTTATGCACAAAACAGAACCACTAGGTTGTGTTTTTCCTCACATGGAGCATACATAAGTTGTATTCTTTGAGTGCATGGTCCTTTATTCTAGAAAAAACCTCTAGGTTGAACAAAATGAAGGCAAAAATTCAAAGTAGGGTCACCACTTACCTTTAAACCCTCTCGGCCTGGGAGTCCTGGGTACCCCGAATCCCCTGGAAACCCCTAAAATGGAACAGAAAGCAACAGCAATTATCAGCAAGTGAGGGTAACAGCTTTGCTTTTACAAAACCACAGAGAAATACTTACCAGACTCCCTTTTTCTCCTTTTTCACCATCTTTTCCCGGTTTTCCCTGTACAATAAAGATGTAAATATTAGTAGTGCATAGATAATAATAATAAGCATGCTCTAACACCAAGGGACTGAATCAAATACAAGTTACTATGTTGTATGAATCCTCTGGGTGAGTTGGCCATGCTACAGTAACAAATCATGGAAGATACATTAAAGAACTATGAACTAAAAGAGTTACAACAATAGAAGAAGACTTTTCAATATTTAAAAAATTGGAGGTTGATTAGCTCCAAGTCTTCTACGACATCATTACGTCTGGCAGCCGAGTCTACACCAGAGACGTTTTCTTACCGGCAAGTGAGTATTTGGCAGGCGGTACAGCACTGACTCACTTTAACAGAAGTTTCCATGCATCGTTTCAGGGTAGAAACTGAACTGCCTCAGCTACTGGAGGTGGGTGGGTCTCCTGTCACTGCACGCAGGCCGCTAGAGGCACCTGAGCATCTGGGCTCTGGACAGAGCTCCCAGCGGGCTTGGGAGGCGGCCGGGAAGGGTGCCTGGTGCTCTGAGCAGGCGGACAGATGGCTTTCAGTGAGGGGCCAGCAGGGGGCGCTGTCTGGTGGGGGGGCGGAGGAATCATCTGAATAACAAAGGGCCTCAGCCGTCCTGGGGGGCCTTTCTAATGGTGACCACCTCCTTATTCCTGCTCCCAGGGCTTCAGAAAGGCTCTTCAGCAGAGGAAAGACCCCTATAATCTCTTTCAATCTATGCTCCTATGAACCTGGGATTCTAGGAATGCAGGAGAAATGATTTCACATCAGGAATAAGAGGACTTTGTTTTCTAAACATCTCTATTGGAGTATAATTGCTTTACAATGGTGCGTTAGCTTCTGCTGTGTAACAAAGTGAATCAGCTATACGTATACATATATCCCCATATCCCCTCCCTCTTGCGTCTCCCACCCTCCCTATCCCACCCCTCCAGGTGGTCACAAAGCACCGAGCAGATCTCCCTGTGCTCTGCGGCTGCTTCCCACTAGCTATCTATTTTACATTTGGGAGTGGATATATGTCCATGCCACTCTCTCTCTTCGTCCCAGCTTACCCTTCCCCCTCCCCGTGTCCTCAAGTCCATTCTCTACAGGACTTTTGAAAGCACTTACTCGGGGTCCTGGTTTTCCGGGTTCACCTTTCTCTCCAACCCCTGGCATCCCCTAAAAGACAAAAAGAGCAAGAGTTAGAGTCATTTGTATATTTAAATAAACTATTAAATTAAGTAAGCATTCCACTGAAGGTGGAACACATTACGGTCTTTTCCACAAAATGATAATGATAAACAAGATTTCAGTCCTTACCTGAAATCCAGGTTCACCTTTTTGGCCCTAAAATAAGTTTCAAAAGAGAGAAAGATTAGCACTATCTAGTGGCTATATCAGTTTTTATATGCTACGTGGAACAGGTAAAAGGGAAAAAACACCTTTTCCTGATATAGTAACCAAGAAATTCACATTGGTCTACAGCATCCACTTCCTGCCATCAACTGGATTATGGATGTAGGGCTGAGTTAATACGTCTGACCCACAGCAACTGCAGCCTCCTTCCACCCTCAGCTCTCTCCCTCCTGTGTCCCAGCCGTCCCCTCCCAACCTTGGTGCATTTAAGAAACCCTCACACAAGAGGGTCAGCCTCAAACTAGTCTCGCTCCAACCCAGGTCCAGCTGCCTCTGCCCTCAAGAAGCTCACTTTTTATGGGATGGGTGGTCTATAAAAACCTGTTTTCAGGTCAGGGCGAATATAACCAGAGAAACTGAATTTTGACCCAGTCTCTCTTTATGCCTTGGAATCTGTCCACAATTAGGAAGCTGGCGTTCACTGGACAAAGTCTGTCCCACCTTCTCTCCTTTTGCAGCATACTCTCCTTTCTCTCGAACTTGAGCTTGTCCTGGGACTCCTGGGGGCCCACTGACCCCTTGATCACCCTGTTGATGCAAACATTTGGGATTAATTAGGCATAAAGGTAATTATACAGGGAAGAGAAATGCAGAGGAGGGAAAAGCCCAGAAGAGAACATCTGGTTTGAAAATGTGATTGTACTCTGTTCCAGCCTGTCCTTGCCTCAGCAGAAAATTAAGTTTCAGAAGGAAGATGGTCCACTAAGGATATAAAGCCAGGAGGAGGCTTTCCCACTCAGGGGTCACCCCATAACAACGGAACTTGCACATCTGTAGGACAGATGGATGTGTGCATATATGTACAGACCACGCATAGAGACAGACAGCACATGTATACACCCCGGGACACATATGCTGGTCTGTCACATTTGATGGCACGGAGGAAAGGCACACCAGCCGCCTAGTAACACCTGGGAAGAAAGGAGGTCTCTACGTAAACCAAAAAGAAGCATCAGGGATCTCTTCCTCAGAATCCTAACTGCTGGGTACAACGGGAAATACAGGAACCCCAGCCATCCCACGACAAAGGAGGTCCAAAAACTTCAACCGCATCAACTGCAGAATCACTTTACTGTGAGCTTTATAAAAAGACTGGGTGGAAATCTGGGGTGGGAAGAGGAAGCCAGTACTCATCCACTCTGCCCGGACCTCCACTACACTTGGCAGTCGTCTACACCGGCTTGAGCACCTGGGCGCTGGGCCAGGTGCAGCCGCAATTCCAAGGATGGCCACTTGGTGTCCGTTCCGTGGGTCGGGTCCAGGGAAAAGGGTGGAGAGATCCCCAGAGCATCAGGGACCCACTGCCGGCCTCTCATCCTTTCTCAGCAGGAGAAGGCTGCCTGCTCTGGCCTGTGCATTCCTGCCTCCAAGGTTCTTTCCCCCCATCTCTGGTACGATGGCTTTCGTCTTTACAGGGCTTAATATAATGGTTATGCTACTAACAGGTCCTAAATTTGACTTTTTTATAATGAAGTCCAGGTCTGAGAACATTTTGATTGAATGTATGAACAGAGAAGTGGGATAAATGGCCTCACTGCACCGGCAGATCCCACGTAGAGTCACCTCAGGGAATTCTAGCCGTGCCTTCAGGGAGATCACTAACAAACTCAAGAACATTCCAAGAAGGGTATCCATCGTTATGAGCGTCCAAGAGGAGGCCCGGAGGCAGAAACCTGATCATGCTTAGAACTGGGATTTTAACCAAGAAAACTCCCCAAAGCAAACAGCGCTCACTCACCTTGTCACCTTTTGGCCCTTGAAAACTCAAGCCCATTTGCCCCTGTTGATTAAGAAGTAGAATCCGTTATTAGCATTGTTTACTTTGTTCAAGATCATGTAACAAACATGACGTGAAATGCAACAAGATGGTACATTTAAGGCGATAACTTCGTCTCCCAATGACATAATCCTTTCAAGAAAGTTGTGGTCATGTTGTATTCAATGTCTATAAAAAGGTTTTTTTTAAGTATTATTGAAAAAGAATCCTACAAAAACCTTTTTTAAAAAGTTTAAGATTTTTAGACTCTGGCTTTAAAAAACTAAGGAAAAGATCAATGATTCCATAACTAATGGATGGATGGAAGGAAGGATCAATAGATCAACAGATTGACAGATCAACAGATCAGTAGATTAAGTGACAGGTTAGACAGATGGATGGATAGGTGAACAGACAAATGATAAATATATAGACAGATAAAGAAATTATAATCTCCCAAAACCTTTTAAAGAGCTGTAAAAAATGAGTTACAGAAATTTCACGGTAGCCTTATACCAATGTCAAAGAAAGACAAATGAAAAATAATCTTTACCTTTTCACCTGGAGGGCCAGGAGGGCCTGGGGGACCCTGTAGGACAGAGCATTTTAATTAAATATAGTTCACAACCCTGGTAAGTTTTAAATGCTTTACTGTACTGACGTTATCTTCAGATATCACGGTTAAGGTGATAATTTATTTGTTAAATATTTAAATATTTTTCCTGTGCTATAGAACCGTTAAACTTTGAAAGTAACCAGAAATTAGTTCAGGACAATTATTAACAGGGATGGAAACCCTTCAAAATCTTAGGGGTTGGCCTGTGGAATGCACTGATCTGAGCATCTGCTGGGCTATCAGACGGTGGATGAAACCAGCCAAACCCTTGACAAGCCTTAGCGTTTCTAGTGTGGAAACGTTTGTCCACTTTGAAAACTGCTGCCTCTCTTTAAAAGTTAAATGAGTTCTTTAAGCGGGTAGATGGTATGAAGTCCCCCAAGTTCCTGTGTTTGCAACAAAATTTCAGAATGCTTTTTATAATCGTTAAAAAGGAAAAACTAGTCATTCTTTCCTCAGGAAAACAAGGCCATTACAAGAATATAAAAGAGGTTACATCTTGCAGGAATGGATAGAAGAATTGCTGGATTTGAACCCTAAAAAAAGAGTAAACTAAAAAAATAAGCCTGAAAATCTCTCAAGGACTCTCAGGCAGGCCAGAGTGGGGATGGCAAACCCATGCACATCATTCATTCCTAGTAAACGCGGCGCTCGACAAATAAGTGCTGTTAATATTAAGTCTCTTGTGCCCCCCAAAATGTGTGAGCAGAAGGGGCTGATGCCACCCTCGTCCTCAGGGTTATCAGCTGTGAGGGACGGCTGATGTCAGAGCAGAGCTTCCTGGGAGGTTCTCTCTGATGCTCAGTTTCTAGTCTCTGTCCCAAAGACACTGCAGCTTCTTCACAGCCTGGTCTGGGGCCACAGCCCCCAACAGAGTAGGCCCTCTGCTGTGACTGCATTACCACAAGGGAAGGTCCAGGGCAGGGCCTGACTTGTCCATCTCTGCATCCCCTCCTCACAGGATGCGCTCACATCCACACAGCCCCACGAAAAATCAACATGTTGTCCCTGTGGGATGTCTCGGCATGAGGTACCATTAGCATCCTTTTCCCACAGCTCTGGGGATACGTGGACCATAAGTGCCAATCAAACATCCCTTCAGATAGAAGCTCAAATAGATAACTAATAAGAACCTACTGTAGAGCACAGGGAACTCTACTCTGTACTCTGTAATGACCTATTTGGAAAAAGAATCTAAAAAAAAGAGTGGATATACTTGTATGTATAACTGATTCACTTTGCTGTACACCTGAAACTAACACAACACTGTAAATCAACCATACTCCAATAAAATTTTTAAAAAGATAGAAGCTCATTCTCACATCCAAATTAAGAGAGATCACCACTGTGTAAAGTTTTCATTCCATTTTATGTGTTTTCACCCCTCACCACAGTTGTTCTCTGAATGCCTCCGAGGGATATTCCCCCCAAACTTACTGGTGGTCCAGTGAATCCCGGGGGACCAACAGGACCTTGCAGCCCTGGCAGTCCTGGCGAACCCTATAATTCATTGAGAAAGAAAAGAATTAAAATGCAAACCAGGAGGAGACTCGGCATGTGCTCATAATTATTTAGCAAATGCTTACAGGTGCTCCTGGGGGTCCAGGAAATCCTCTTTCACCTTTCAACAAGGTCCCTGGTATATGGCCAAGTATTTCACCTGGATCCCCCTAAGGGATGAAAAATAAGATAAAGTCACAAATACTGATATTTATGCAAAGAGAATGTAAACCTACAGCGTAAGAGGCATGCACTGCTGGTGTGGAACCAGCCCAAGTCTGGGGTTTAGCCTCTGTCCAAGCTTGGAATAAACAGACTGGCCGTCTCCTGGGTTCACATGCCTTAATGACCAGCATTAGGGGGCTGCAACCAGGGCAGAACGTGGAGACCGCTGAACAGAAGGATGTGTGATGCTTCCACGTGACGGGCCCCCAGGCACGAGGAGTTCTAGACAGGGGCCCGGTCTCTGGTCCAAAGGCTATGTGACCACAGGCTGTCCTCACAGCAGAAGGATTATCTTTTAAGAAAAGACCCAGCACAATCATGTTCGGAAAAGCAGTGAGAATATGTTTTAGGTGTCAACGTGGCCAGGCCACAGTACCCAGATACTTGGTTACACACCAGTCTGAGGTTGACGTGAAAGTACTTTTAAATAAGATGGACATTTAAATCAGTAGCTTTGAAGTAAAGCAGATGACCTTCCATGGTGGGGGGCCCACCCCATGGGTTGAAGGCCTTAAGAGAAAAAAGACGGACTCCTATGAAGAAGGCGGACTCTGCCTACAGACAGCCCTTGAACCCGACCATGGCTCTTCCCTGGGTCTCCAGCCTGCATCCTTGCCCCACGGATTGTGGACTTGCCAGCTCCCACAATCATATAACTCCTTAAAATAAGGAATTTATTTTATCTCAATATATTTAAATTATATTATATATTGAAATATATAATTAAATTAGTATATAACATAATTAAATATTATAATATGTATTATGTATTATATATTATATAATATAAATCAACATATAATATAATTGATATGCAATAATATATTATATTATGTATTATATAATATGTAAAATATATTATATATTTTTAAATTATATCTCTCACTCACTCTATCTAACCTTATATGTGCATGTTGTATACGTATGGCACACACATAATACACAAACATCTCCACGCACGTCCTACTGGTTCTGTTTCTCTGCAGAGTCCTGTCGACAGCCCCACCCATGGCTCTGGACGAGGAGTATCAGGGACTCACATCCCATCACTAATATTTCCCATCACACCATGCTTCCCATCACTGCTTATTTCCTATGAAGAAACTGTGCCTAGTGTTGAAACTTTAGGTTCTAAAATTTAAGTCTGTGTATAGGACCTAAGTACTCTTTTAATGTAGCAGAGTTTAGACAAATAGGTTACTAGGCAATCAATCAACCAAAGTGATTTAAAGTAAAGTTACTTTTATGGCATCTGTTTTAAACAGAAGCCTGGAATGAATCCGGTAAAATAAAATAACGTACCTTCATTCCCGGCAACCCTGGTGGCCCCTAGAAAAGAAAAAGTTGGTATCAGTTTTGTTTTTCTCAAAACAACATTAGCATTATGATATGAGGGCAAAAAAAGGAAAAGAAAGGCAATGGAATGAGAAGAGAGAAAGTAGCACTGAAGAAATTCTTACATAACAGCCCAATACTCACGGGATTTCCAGCGAATCCAGGCAAACCCGGAGGCCCCAGAGGCCCTCTCTCACCCTGGGGGGACAGCAGACAGTCACTCTCAAAGGCCGTGCTCCCATCCGTTACCCCATCCTACCCTTCAGGCATGCTTCATTTGTTGGTGAAAATCATTTTCTAAAAATTGTTACAAGCTCTATTGCTCAGTGCTGCTTCATGATAGAAGAAATATAATATTTGAGAATTTAATTAATAGAGACAAGAATTAATAATAGCATTTTCTTATTTGCTTTAGTAATAGATTATAGGTGAGAAATTTAGCATTTAAGGCAATTTTAGAATAAAAGTCTACTAAATAGAAAGGCACAATGATGTCTTTCCTGAACATTAAACGTGGGAAAACTGTGTCTCCTCACCAAATAAAGAAAGGTGTAAGACGAGTAACTTTCCAACTGTGGCAATTAAAACTGTGTTCACGGGACAACTTTGCCTGACTTCTCCAGGTGCAAAGTTAGATGAACACGCACCAAGCAGGGAGGCTCTCGGTTCTAAATTTACCTTCGTCCCGTTGCATCCTGGGATACCTGGGGGACCCGGAGGACCATCTTGGCCAGGAATACCCTGCAATTAACAAGGTGAACAAGTAGCCAAATCAGAAAAATCACTGATGTTGCCATAACTCACATCAAACATCTTATAAAGGAAGCAGGTGCCTTTTATATACATACAGGAAGTCCTGGGTTTCCAGGGTAACCAGATGCTCCTGGGGGTCCCTGTAAGGATGGAGATGAAAACGTTTTCATTGAGTGTGGGAGAACATCATTTCCTTCCACTTGCATCCACCTGGCTGAGGATGTCGGACCCTAATTATTGACATTTGGAACATCGGCCCTAAGCAGACAGGGAGGCATCTTAGGGTCTAGCCCAGGGAGCCAGATGGCCTGGCGTTTCAGTAGCAACTCTTCATCATCAAAAGCTGACGATTAAATACTTCTAAACTCAAGGCTGCACATCCACAAAATAACTCTGCCCTCATTTCATCCTTTGTAATTTCTAGGTGGTAGATAGACAGATAGATAAATTTACATTAAAATCTCAAACAGCCTTAAAGAAAGAAAAAAAAAATCTCAAACAGTTGGGAAGTAGAGTGTATGGCATAAATCAGTTCATTGAGGGAAGAAAATCCAAGTTATTTCTGGCTGAAATCCAGGTATTCTCCATCCCAGACAGTTACAATGTTATCCCCTATCTTCTGCCCTAAAGACCCAGGAAGGCAGCTTACCGGGCACACTTCCCTTTCCACTAAGTAACAGTAACAGAATTAAAATGTTTACATTTTACAGTGTCTTCCTATTTTTCTGCTTTCAAAGGTCTCCCTGCTTGCACGTCCCAGGAACGGGAGTAGCAAAGAAAGCAGACCGTGAAGACGGAAGAGGGAATGCAGCTCTGAACACGTTACCACTTTTCACATTAAATGAAGACAACTTTCTTCAAAGACCTGTAGGCGTGTCATCCCCCCTCCCCCAATTAAATACGCCTACAGGAATCCTTGAGGAAGGAGAGAGGAGAGAAAACACGTGTACAGAGGACAAGAAGTGAGCAGCTCCAGGGGGAGGACTGGAGGTCGAGGACACGGGTTCCACCCATCCTGGGCCCTCGTGCCCAGGACACACGCTGTCTGGGCTCCGAGCACAGAGGCGGGGGGGGGGGCACAGAGGAAGGAGGGGATAGGATGCCCCTCGGGACTGTCTGGGGGTGGGGAGGGTAAAGGGCCCTCCCTGTGGAAGCACCCCTGTATCAGATCCCGCCCACAGTCATTACCAACTTCCTGACAGTGGTACTCACTCTTGTCCCCTTAGTCCCTGGCAGTCCGGGCTCTCCGGTGTCACCCTGGAACAGACGGACATGCCATAATGACCACTTGTCGCAAAAGCAACACAGATCATCTTAAGTCCGCTCCCCCAAGCCCCTGCGCCCACGACAGCCAAGCTCACCTTCTGTCCTGGTGGTCCCTGCGGCCCCTCAGGTCCTTGCATTCCCGGGAACCCGATGACACCTTGTAACCCTGGGAGACCTCTTTCTCCCTGCAGAGGACGAAAGAGCAAGTCAGACCAAGGGCAGGTGGAAGGAGAAATCAGCCTCACTCAGCATCACCCAGCAGCCAGCCTACCATGCGCATCTGAAAAGAGACGCTGCCGCCTACGTCCCATCTCAGAGACTTTTCTCTGCTCTTTTTTAGCTCTTTTGAGGGCAGGGATGTTTCACGTGTGACCCCTGGTCCGATGCTTTCTATATACTGTATTCTAAAGGCTAAGGAATTTGTTGGGGAAATAAAATCACAGACAGTTGGGGATTTTTTTCCACTGAATGGCTTATAACCTCATTTGATGAGTGGAATCTTCTTGTTGTTGGCAGACACAGCGCCGAGATTCTGTGCGCAGACATCAGTCAAGGCTCCCCTTTAGGAGGTGTGTAGGCAGAGCTCACAGCGGCAGTTTCAGGGCAAGATGCTGAGACTTTTCTGTGCAGTGAACAGTCTGACGATGGGTTTGCATAAGCATCTCTTAAAAAACTGGGTTTTTTTTTTTTTTGCAAAGGTAGACTCGAGGTTTAATTACGGTCTCTGCCCTCGAGGAGCAAAAAGAAATAAAATGTATTCTTAACATAATGAATATTATTTAGGATCCACACACGTGGCTGGGATTTTGGCTTTGAGGTGGCCCTTGAAGGATGAAAGGAAAATGAATGTGTGAAGAGGCAGGCAAAGACAATTCAGGCTGGATGTCAGAGAATGGAGATCTAGGCCATGTGAGCACAAGACACTAAGAAGAAGAAATACAACGGGGACAAGAACGTGGAGAGATGAGGCGTTACCGTTTGATACTGGAAATAGTTTCCTCTGCAAGCATCAGTGACCCAGTGGCCTGATTAAGGATATTGAGGAAGACGGCCACACTTTTCGCCAGTATGAAATAGCCTAAAATCAGGACAGGAGTTCAAGAAAATCTATTCTCTTCACAGTATGTGGACTTCGGTGCAACCTCACAAGGTAAATTGGGTAGATTAAGTAAGCATCTTTAGCCAATTTTCAAAAACAGAAGACATGTCGGAGATTACAAACAGGATTCCTTACTTTCCCTACAGTTATGTTAGTTCAAAGTAAAAAATAAACTGACAAGCTATACATTACATCACATAAACATTTACCACCCAAAATAGCACATTACCAAAAGTTACTTAAAGTTATTCAACGTTGCATAAATGAAAGGACACAGAACCCAAACTTCCAAAGTCATCCTTCTTTCCAAACCACTCAGCCAGTCCCAGAACTTGCTGGTGAATTGTGCGTCTGTTGCATTTTCTGAAATGCACAAACGTGGTTCTGAACTTCGGTCTCCAACCACTGGACCTCCACAGATCGTGGGAGTCATTGGAAGTGTAAAAGGCAGGAAGCCAGAAACAGTGTGTGAATAAATGGGAAAGAGATTATTTCAAACTCTAGAGGAGACCAACAGATACTAAATGGAGTAAAGAGAGTTAAGCCCTGCAGTATGGCCCAGCCCTTTGGACCAGCTGCATCGAGGGATCAACCAGGAAGAACAGATGCTAATATTCCCCAGAGCCCAGCATAGGACTTGACACAGAACACTGGCTCATCCTCCCTGAGGCCCGGGAAAGAAAAACATTCTCAGACCAAGGCTTGTTCAAATGTAAAGTTACTTAAATACATTCATTCTTAACCTAAAATAACAGCAGATACAAACGTACAAAATCCTGGCGCTGGAGACGGATTGTACGCTGACATCATATCAACCTCCTCCCTTGATTCAGATGTGGGAAAATTCTACCCAAAATAGAATTGAACCGCTGGCTAAAAACTGTGAACACTGAACTGAGTATCCTCAAATAACCTGGCATGAGATGCGAAGGAAATACGAAAGGCACATCAGCAGAAAAGCTTCCTAACGCATTTGGTGGCATATCTTTAGTACTTAGTTAATATCGGCAGTACCACTAGGAGACCCAGTGCAGATAAGATTTTATAATTCTCATTTTCATCATTGACTGCATGGAGACCCAGAGCCAGATTAGCCGATTTCTACGAGTTTCTCATTGAGTCAGCACTAAAGCCACAAATAGAAATGAGGTCAACCTCTACCTCTGTCTGTGTTTCTTCTAGGTCACTAGAGCAAGCTGGTTCCCAGCAAATATTAAATAGTTCACCCACATCGACTTAGCCCCTTTTATGTCCATTTCACAGATAGGGAAATTGGGATTCTGATGCTTCACTGACGCGTCACATGTCACTGGGTGACCCCTGCGTGCTCCTGGGAACAGGATTCAGAAATCTGAATTCCCAGTCCCGGCTTTCACCACAGGCCCACATTCTTTCCCCAATGTCACCGGAACACTTAAGCAAGCTCCATATCCCAAGAGATTTGAAATTAAGTAGCTAAAGAGGAAGTGACTCCTCCGTGAACATGGCTCTTGCCATCTCGCACATTTTTTTTTTTTAAGTTTCCTAATCTTTTGTTCAGACAAAAGTACACATGAATAATCTAATATCCCATACCCCGTCCAAGGCTATTCTGGGCACCAGAGTAGAGCACACAGACAGGATAAGCATTCAATCAGCTATACAATTAGCTGGCAAACAGCACACACTGCACATGGGCCCAATTCTTCCTCCGAGCTTTCAGCAAATCTCCACGAGGGTTACGGAAAAAGCAAACAGCTGGGCACATCAAGCAAAGGCTTTTCATGCCGGTCCTTTCTAAGCCAGACTCCACAGTTGTGGCCACTCGTGTGCTGGGGTTCAAGGCTGAATGGGCAGAGTTAAAATCCCCTAGAAACAGGTCCCCTTAGTCATCTCTTTCCCGTGATGTGCTGGAGGCAAGGTCCAAGACGATATGGCAGCCCAAGTGAGATCCACAACCACTGTTACCACAGCAGGAAGAACTTAAAGTGGAAGATGAGAAAAAGAAGCTTGTAAATACTACCCAAAATGCTTTGAGGCAACTGCATCTAACGGTTTTATTCTTGAACGCCAGTGCAGTGTACTGTACTAATTTTTTTAAAGTTTATATACCAACCATGGAAGTGACTATCACTATATCCTCAAATGATGAAATTCAGAATTTGAGGAGAAAAAAACACAACACTATAGATGAACGAACACAGCCATGGAGAATAATCTTGGCATCAAAATCAGCCATTCTAAATTAGGCATGAAATAGAGTTTCGTGCATGAAGCAACTTACAAATTTTGCATCATCAATTATCTAGAGAAGGGCATACCTTTTTTAAAAAAAAAAATCCATAAAATGTGGGAATAAAAGAGTTTTTTTTATAATACCCAATTATTTCCCTTCCTCTTAAAATACCTGTAGAAACAAGTTCATGATGGAAATCCAATGCTAGAATATAGTCCCCTTCAAATCTTAGTCAAAAATCCAAATACCAATAAAGCCCTCAGGATGGTGAGGTCGAAATAGTGTGAAGGTTCTAAGGATAATATAGGATAACATCATTAACAACAACAAAAACTGAAATTAACACAAAACATATCTAGAGTAAGCAGTCTTCAAAGATCTTACTGTCAGAGGCCTATTATGCTTGTTTCAGCCAAATATTGAATTATTTTTTCAAATAATTTAAAAATAATAATTATTTTATTATTAATAATAATTATTTTTTATATTATTTTAAAATAATATGATCAAGATAGCCTCATCCACCAGAGGGCAGACAGAAGAAGCTAGAAGAACTACAATCCTGCAGCCTGTGGAACAAAAACCACATTCACAGAAAGACAGACAAGATGAAAAGGCAGAGGGCTACGTACCAGATGAAGGAACAAGATAAAACCCCAGAAAAACAACTAAATGAAGTGGAGATAGGCAACCTTCCAGAAAAAGAATTCCGAATAATGATAGTGAAGATGATCCAGGACCTCAGAAAAAGAATGGAGGCAAAGATCGAGAAGATGCAAGAAATGTTTCACAAAGACCTAGAAGAATTATAGAACAAACACCTAGAAGAATTAATCAACAAACAAACAGAGATGAATAATAAAATAACTGAAATGAAAAATACACTAGAAGGACTCAATAACAGAATAACTGAGGCAGAAGAACGGATAAGTGACCTGGAAGACAGAATGGTGGAATTCACTGCAACAAAACAAAAAAAAAAAAAAAAAAAAAAAAAGAATGAAAAGAAATGAAGAGAGCCTAAGAGACCTCTGGGACAACATTAAACACAACAACATTTGCATTATAAGGGTCCCAAAAGGAGAAGAGAGAGAGAAAGGACCCGACAAAATATTTGAAGAGATTATAGTTGAAAACTTCCCTAACATGGGAAAGGAAATGGCCACCCAAGTCCAGGAAGTGCAGAGAGTCCCAGGAGGATAAACCCAAGGAGAAACATGCCAAGACACATAGTGATCAAACTGACAAAAGTTAAAGACAAAGAAAAATTATTGAAAGCAGCAAGGAAAAAACCACAAATAACATACAAGGGAATTCCCATAAGGTTCACAGCTGACTTCTCAGCAGAAACTCTACAAGCCAGAAGGGAGTGGCACGATATATTTAAAGTGATGAAAGGGAAGAACCTACAACCAAGATTATTCTACGCAGCAAGGATCTCATTCAGATTCAACGGAGAAATCAAAAGCTTTACAGAGAAGCAAAATGTAGAGAATTCTTAAAAGCACCACCAAACCAGCTCTACAACAAATGCTAAAGAACTTCTCTAAGTGGGAAACACAAGAGAAGAAAAGGACCTACAAAAACAAACCCATAACAATTAAGAAAATGGTAACAGGAACATACATATCGATAATTACCTTAAACATGAATGGATTTAAATGCTCCAACCAAAAGACACAGGCTCACTGCATGGATACAAAAACAAGACCCATATATATGCTGTCTACAAGAGACCCACTTCAGACCCAGGGACACGTACAGACTGAAAGTGAGGGGGATGGAGAAAGATATTCCATGCAAATGGAAATCAAAAGAAAGCTGGAGTAGCAATACTCATATCAGATAAAATACACTTTAAAAAAAAGAAT